TAATAATAATAATAATAATAATAAATATTATTATTATTATTATTATTATTATTATTATTATTATTATTATTATTATTATTCTCCTTATTCTCTAGAATGAATTACATTTTGGGGACCTAAATGTGTTTGAAAACTCATGAAACCTTGCACATGCACCAGAAGTAGAGAAATGTTACGTTTGTTAAAGTCTTCGAAAGTGAGTGTGGCAAAATCACTTGACAGCGCCACCTATGCACTTTTGATGGAGTGGCCCCCAAGCTACGTTTACATGAATTGTGAAGATCTAGAGTTTTCGCCAAAGGGCGAAGTTCAATATATATCGCCATGAAGAAGAAAGTACTTAGCCACACAATGTCCGATATGCCTGAAAATTCACAGGTTCAATGTGAATCTTCTCCTGAAGAAATCTACATGCCAATATTGAGTCACAGCCAGAAGGAAGTTTGGTATAAATCTGTGATTTTTATCAAATTAAAAAATATATATATTTATCAGCTTAAATTAGTATTGTCCACTGGTCTTTGTCATCCTAAGGCTACATTGAGCCCTGGTGCGAGGTCTCTTTCATCATTGCTTGCAGCTTTACTAGTTCCATTTTATTTATTTTTTATTTATTTATTTATTTATTTGTTTGTTTATTTATTTATTTATTTATTTATTTATTTATTTATTTATTTATTTATTTATTTATTTATTTATTTATTTATTTATTTATGTATTTTTTTTTTTTTTTTACTTTAGATGGATGTAAATCTTGGGGACTTGATGATTTAAAATAGCATAATAGGGAAACTTTAAGATGAAAGTTAAACATATCTATTTCCTAGTTTTCCAGAATACAAAAACAGCTACAAATGTGCTGGTACATACTCAACTCAGATGTCGTCACTTCAGATGTTGACAGTTCATCTTTAAAAGATAGGTAGAGATAGGTAAAAAAAAGGCAATAATAATATAATTAAATGTTGATTTAATAGAAACAATTTCATTGCTTTGTCTAACTGACAATTAAGCAGCCAAAAAAAAAAATAAATAAATCTGTATTTCAATGGTTGCATTATTATTTCAGGCTTTATGTACACTCCCAGCAATAAAGGTAGACAAGTAATCACTGACACAGCAATATTCAAAAGGTACAGACTTGTACATCAATTATCTATATTGTACCATAAAGGTCCATATTATTACTTAAAGATTTTGAAAGGCACTCATTCTACTATTTAGTTACAAATATGTAGTTTTAAGGTATCTATGTTAACCCTTTAGGGAATATTCTGAAAAAGTACAGCTCGAGTGACATTTTTATTTCTGAAAGTGTACACAGTTTGACCGTTTCTTGATCAATTAGTTTTAAAATGCATCTAAATGGCAATGTAAATGTAGATGTCATGACAGACTGCTGACTAAGCTACATAATGCTACAAAACTATAGTACAGTACAGTATATGATACATACAGCTCTCTGTCCAAGCTGAGACTGTAGAAACTTCTGGAAATGAATATTCAGGCTTAGTAACTAGTTCATGAGGAAAAGAAAAGTTGAAAGAAAGATTAGTTTAAACAAACCCATGGAGTATGAAAATATGAGGATAATAGAAAGAAATGCAATTCAGAGCTAAACGAAACTGTGTTGATGTAGCAAAATCAGAAATTCAATAAGAAAAGCACTGCTATAGGCAAGTATTTTGACTCATTGATCAGTCATTGCATTGGTCACTAAGCATCATTCAATCCTTCTGTTTATCAGAAAACTCTGAGTTTTGCACTTAAGCAATAATCTAATCATTCTCCTCTATGCAACAAAATCTTGCCAACAGCAGCCCATAGCTGCTTAACTGCTGCTTAATCAGTTTCGAACACCTTGCGGCTGTGCTAATTAGAACCCAAATAACTTTACTTGTATCAGATGTTAGTGTCTCAGCATGGGCACTTGGATTCAGATTCTGACATCAGATTCATTATAGCTCTTGGGACTCTGCTTATAGTTGCTGGCAGGCGTACTTACATGCTGCAGGGTCGGTGCCTCCTTTCTCACTGATGGCTGACCCACAGCCCACCTGCGTGCACGCACTCAGGTAGAACTTATATGAGTTGTCTTCCTGCAGATCACGCAAAACCCACTGTGTCGTGTCTGCTCCAGAGATGTTCACAGAGTTCAGCTCACCCAGAGTCTCATTATCTACAACTAAAAAAATATATATATATTAATTGGGTCAGAGGGATTGTTTCAAAGAAAGTAACAATTTCACAAAGGATGCATTAAAATATATTCTAGCATAGCTTGGGTTTATTCACATCTATGTTGTTTGGTTCAAATTGAATCAAAATCAAATTCCAGTTCATTTCCCCCTTTGATGTAGATCATTCGGACGGGCGTGAGTACAGCAATCACACACTGGTGTGCAGGAAACAAAAGCCTTGAGAATAAAGTATTATTTTAACTCTCTGGGGTCTGAGGGTGTTTTGGGGCTCTGGAGAAGTTTTGACATGCACTGACATTTGTGTTGTTTTCAGTATCTTAAAAACATATTAATGGCTAAAGTGTGATAACACTGTAAACAGCATGTTTGTATGTGTTTGTGTTATTGAGAATAAAACATTTATGCGTGGTTAGTGAAAAACTACAATTTTGAAGTCACTGAAACAAGGCCATGAAACACAAGACTTTTGAGAATTGGATCTGGTAGTCTAGTGTTTTTGCTTCAAAATGATGTGAGAATCATCTTGTTAACTTGCTCAAAGAAAACAATATAATGAATTAAAAATTCCAAGTCACTTTTTAAGTGAAATTTGTTTATGCGGGAAGGCGTGAACTATCATTACTATGCAGTGAGTCACACCTGAAGACAAAGACCTGCATAATGAGCTGTATAATGAGCCATCAGACAGGTACAGTGTGTGACTAGGAGGGAAGTTTCAAGAAGGAATCAGAGAAAAATTTATATACCAGAGTGTGAATTTGATCTGACAGCGTCACGGTGGCTCAGTGGTTAGCACTGTAGCCTCACAGTAAGAACTTTACTGGTTCGAGCCCCAGCTGGGTCAGTGGGCATTCTGTGTGGGGTTTGCATGTTCTCCCCATGGTTATTTGGGTTTCCTCCGGGTGCTCCGGTTTCCCTCACAGTCCAAAGATATGTGCTATAGGTGAATTGAATAGATTAAATTGGCCGTAGTGTATGTGTGTGAATGGGTGTGAATAGATTTTTCTTAGTACTGGGTTGCAGCTAGAAGGGCATCCGCTGTGTAAAACATATGCTGAATAAGTTATCGATTCATTCCACTGTGGCGACCCCTGCTAAATAAAATGACTAAGCTGAAGGAAAATGAATGAATGAATTTGATCTGACCTTGGGATTAAAAAAATAAAAAGTTTTATTTCAAGAAGTCACACTATTCCTAAACGTTTGCAGTCAAAAAAAAAACAAATCAATACTTCTATTTACTCATAAAACAAACAATTATTATTAAAATGTTGAATGCTGAAAAAATGTTAAACTCTCATTTGAGATTAAAAATGATCAATAAATTCTGCTTGGTGAATCAAACACTTTAGAATGAAAATTTAGTACACTGAAAAAAGAAACTTTTTTTATAAGGGCTTAAATTACATTTAGTAATATTTAAACTCAATTTGTTTATTTAAATTCAGCCCATATAAATTGTTTGCAACCACTTACCTTAAATTTAGTAAATCCAATAAATATTTTATTTTGATAATCTAACGTGTTATGGCTCACTTCGCAGCTGAGACATTACACTGTAATATTATACACCTATATACATATAGTACATATAATTAGTCTAAATAAAATAAAGTGAAATATTCACAAAAATTGTTTAAAACACCTTGAATGATATAGCGGTTCCATGTGTGGAGGAATTAGAGATGCTCATTTTAGTTAGTTTTGCCAACGGCCAACTGCCGATTGTTAATCGAATAATAACTGTTAACCGTTAATAGATTAATATTAAAATATTATTTAATAAAAAAATAATTGATGTGACTATTTTGTGTGACACATAACATATTGCATTTTAAAATACTGATTTATTTTAACATGCAAACAGCATACAGAACATTACAGAGCATCTTCACACACCTGCAGTGTTTTCAGCAGTATAAAAATAATCTAAACAAAAAGAATAAAATAAACCCTGCTCTAGATCTTTCACTGAAATGACAAATTTAAATTACAAAACCAAAACACTGATTGAATCCTTTTTAAGAACCAGCATATGCTGTTTTTCCAATCATGTTTTTTTCTTCCGTCAAAAAAAAAAAAAAAAAAAATTAGGCTACCTCAGATAGATTGATTTACTAAAAAATATGCATTTAATTAATGCTCCGCTGTTAGATTAGCTGTTAAATTATATTACAAAACCTCTGTAAGCATTTTAATATAATTAATAAAATTAGTTTATTATGTCTTAATTATGATTATGACTTATTTCCCTTTGACACACACACGGTTCATGGGTGTGTGTGCTGCATGTAATGAAAGATAATTACAATGAGCCGTGAAGCTCATATGTTGATTTTTTGTAAACTATAGGCTACTTTAGCATATAACAATTTTGTTGTTTACATATGATATTGCATTAATTTGCATACATGTTTTATAAGCTGTAAAATAAATGCCTCAGTTTGGTACAAAGTTTTCATTATGCAAACATCAAGAAAAACTTTGGATTTGTTTGATTTATAGATTAGGCCATGTAGGCTTTCTAGAAATGTAAATTATATAAGAATTATTAATAACTGTAATTTTCCAAACGGGAAAAGGTTGGTTTGTTGGTTGTAGCCTAAACTAAATCATCAATAGCCTGTTTGTTGAGTTTATGACACAACACAGAGGCAATCAGCATCAGCATTGGTTTGTCAACTCGTCAAACTGTGACCAGAAATATCATTCTTTCAGTGAATATAGGCTTCACTAAAACTGAATATTTCACTTTAATTTTATTTAGGCTAGATTATTATTTTATTTAACAAACCAACACAATATCACAGTAACTCGTGTTTTGGTGCGGAAGCATTTAGCGGAATTGTTTTGAAGCACTTAACCCCAAAGGTTATTCGGTATTATTTATTCCTTTAAACAATGTAGCCTAGTTGTCTTTTTAGAGATTAATAAAGGAATTAGTATGCTTTGTTTCATTGTTTATCTTTATTTATAAGTAGCAGAGTATTTACAGCTAATGTATAGTCTATTTCTGTCCGTTTGCATCCCATCCCTTTGTGCCACCTGGCGGCATAGTCGCAAACTGCGATCATACCTAAAATATCTGTTCTTTCTTCTTTAGAGCAGCGCCAGTACATGGTGCGGTGGTAATGGCTATATTAAACTCTCACCTACTGTAATAACGAGCCATCGTCAACCCTAGCTCAAACAAACCTTGTCGTCGTCTTGGTGTAAAATCGTCATCTACAAAGAAAAGAAGAAGAGCAGAATCTACCCTGTGCCCTGTTGTCCTTGACAAGGCCATCTACAGCACGAGCGGTTTCACTGTCTTGAGAGAGAGAGCTGTGCATCTATACTTGAAATAACAATCTTCTTGAGCTGATGATAATAATGTGCATGTGATTATTGAAATGCTTCTGACATCGATCCTTTCAGAGATGGACAACAGCCGGAGTGAAGCATGAAAAAACAAAGGAAAAGCATAAACGAACAAAGGAGCGAATGATTCTTTCAGCAACCTAAAACATGAACAAACTGCTATGTTTAACTATTATCATCACCTTTTGGATTATTATAAACTTAGAATGACGGAAATATTTTTTAACAGAGGTTACATGTGCTGGTGAAGATTAAAGTTACAGATGAGGGGTTTCCACTAATTATAGGCTATATTGAGTGTTGTCTTTGAACCCAAATAAGGACTTTTTTCTGTAACTGGTAACATATCAGATACAGTAAGGGGCTGTATGTGTTCATATATGTTGCATTCATTTATTTATTTATTTTATATAATTGCAGACGTTGCAGTAGGCTGTTTTGCACCATTGATCTGCAGTTAAAATCAAACGATGTTCATAGAAAGGTTAATAATGATACACAAGTATTCATATGTATAAAGCATCTGTTTTGTGAGAAGTGCTTCTCATATGATATGTGAACAACTTGTACAGCTTTACTTTGACATTTCCTTGAGTGAGCATGATGTCAACTGAAACCTTCTGTCATTCACCACACCCACATAAAGAGTGGTACCCTTTTGGCAGTGGAAATGCAAGTCTGATAAAAGTGACTCTTTCCATCCTGTACCACTCAGTGAAAACGGGCCATTAGATCCACCAAGCAGAATTTACTGATCGTTTTGAATCTCAAATAAGACTTTAACAGCATTTTAATGATAATAATGTTTTGATTCTATAAAAAGTATGTCGGTAAATTATATAAAATGAGAGCAATATGTGAGTGTCATACCTGTTTGGTATTGCAGAAGGTATCCTGTGAGATGGCCGTTGGTTTCGTGCGGAGGCGCCCACACCAGTGTGATGGCGTCTTTCTGAAAGTTTGTGGCTTTCAGGTAATGAGGTTGTTCAGGAACTGTGGAAAGATATCAAATACCATTGGTCAGTATGTACTATACATTAGAAACCTCATTAAAACCTTGCACCACAATATTTTCAACTTCTAAAATAGCATTGTGTTCATTTCATTTGAGTCGCTGTCACTTTCACACCTCCATTCTATGTAAATTAGACTCATTATATTCAGCTGTACAATTTGGCTCCTGTGAACAACAAAGTATGTAAAAATTCCACTGAATCTACGCAAGAACTTTGCAAAAAAGCTAGAACCCCTGAATTTTAAAACGTGTCTACTGTCAAAGTGCTCTTGCCTCCCTGTGGAGTTGTGAAAGAGATGGGACTGCTGCTGGGCCCATTCCCTCTCCGGTTAAAGACGTTGACAGTCAGACTATATTCAGAGAATGGTTTCAGTCCTGGCACCATGGTGTGACTCCTGTTTCCAGGGATGGTGAGAGACTGTCTCTCTGAGGGAATTTTCTTAGAGGTCAACAGACTCTGAGTTTGCCAGTAGTTCACCTGGGAGGAAAAGTTAGAAGAAGAGGAAGAGGGTGTTGATGAGGAGATACATGTTGATTCGACATCACAATTTCACATATGACAAAATAATATTATTTAGCATTTTCAATATTTAAAATGCATCAAAACTGTTCAACTTTTTATTTTTCTCCATAGACCTGCTGTTATTACATTTTTTACATTATTGAGCGAAATACCAAACTGTCCTATCGTGTGACTATCTCAAGCCAAGTTCAATAAAATACTTAAAAAGCAAATAGTAAAATCGCAGGCATAATTTTTTGTTGTTTAAATTTATTAAATGGGATAGCCCCTTTAGATGAACCATCTCATTTTTGAGATGGTTCATAAATCAAACAGTAAAATACACCATAACAAGCATACAGCCAAACACAAGTGGCAAACAAGCAGCACACTTCATCTGAAAGACTTCCCACAGTCTAAAGCCTAAGCAAACTAAAACATAAATCAAAAGTACAAACAATTAGATTTACAAATATATAAAACGCATTTCAACTGGAACCAAAATGAATAACATTTACAAGATGTTTTCAACAAAAAAGTTAAATTAGTCCTGAAAAGACTATGGGCCCTATCATACACCCAGCACCATAAGGCTCAAGACGTGTATGGTGAAATTTTTATTATTATTTTTTTTTCAGACCAGCGCAACCCGCTAATTTAAAACCTTTAAATACTATCTTTAATTCTTTATGTAGGTTTGCTTTAAGATGTCCTCATAGAACCAACCATTGCATATTATTATTGCTTCAACTTAGGTTCCATAGACAATATCAATGGTATTTGTTTCTTTTTTAAATGTGTGTTTGTTTTTTTGTTTCCCTTTTAATTTAAAGCAGTTATTTGTTCTATTTACCTCTTTGTATTCTGTTCGACATATCCAACATTATTACTGTTTGGTTCCAAAGATTACAACAAAAAGTGGCCGTAGTTTCTTTCAATACAAAGCTTCTTTTGACTGGAATAATCTCCCTTCTTCTTTTGGATCAATAAAGACATTAAGGGCTCTATTTTTAAGATCTTGGTGCAAAGTCTAAAGCACATGGCGCAATAACATTAAAGGCATTTACGAATCCAATTTTGCCATTTTATGGAAAAAAAATACAATCTGCACATGGTCTAACAGGGTTGTGCTCATTCTCTTCAGAGAATCCGTATTCTCTAATCAGAGTCTCATCTCCCATTCCCTTTAAGAGTCAGTTGAATCGTAAAAATGGCGCATTTTCTATTTACATAGAGGACTTTGTAAGTAGAAAAACTGAACGCTTCACTAATGAGAAAACAGTTAAACAAACCCTGTGTAGCGCAAGGATAAAAAATGAGCCTCCTCCATTCTGCCTCTATAATTTCTCTTTACTTTACTTTTACTCTTTACTTCTTTATTTTCGTGGATAAGGAAACAATGTTATACCGGTCCACAGAAGAAATCTATTAGCCTACATATTTAATTTTGTTTGTTAAATACTTTTACTCTTTACTTCTTTATTTTCGTGGATAAGGAAACAATGTTATACACACTCCACTGAAGAAATCTATTAGCCTACATATTTAATTTTGTTTGTTAAGTACTTTTACTCTTTACTTCTTTATTTTCGAGGATAAGGAAACAATGTTATACACACTCCACTGAAGAAATCTATTAGCCTACATATTTAATTTTGTTTGTTAAGCACTAAGATTTGTTTCAAAACTTTTTCTAAATAAAATTTCCAGCAAACGAATAAACGAACAATAATAACGAAGTGTGGTCAAAAAACTATTAATATCCAAACACATAAACACATATGGTGATGCATACATCTCCAAAACCTGACAGGTGTACAAATTTAAACTTGTTTTTAATAAAACAAATATAAATATGCATATATTAAATAATTTTGCTAATAATATTAGCATTATACAAATCCAAATTGTCAAAAATGCAAAAACAAGATGAGGCATGGAGGTAGTTGTTTTTTATATTTATTTAGTAACGGATCATTTTTGTAACATTTTAATCCTTTAATTTTTTTTTCATATGCAAAGATATCTGTGTGTTGCTGTACATCCTGTGTGTATTAAGTAATGTTAACTAACGCCCTCTTGCACTGGACTTTAGACCAGGTTTTAGTTGGTCAATGGCACATTTCAGTTCTTCAAAATATTTTAGACCAGAGCATGCATTAGTCCACAAAGTGGTGCAAATGGATTTGCTATTTAAACAACGTGGCACAAAACGTGAACATTTGGGTTGCGCTAATCTGAAAATAGCAACAAATTTCACCAAACATGTCTTGCGCCTTTTTGCGCCGGGTGTATGATAGGGCCTAAAGAGTGCAGAAAGAGAGAGAAAGCAAGAGAAAGCGAACACACAGTGGAGTCTATTAATTTCAGTAAACAGCTTGTTTGTTGCTGAATGGCCATCAGCTTTTGGCAAGCACCAGTTGAGCTGGAGCGATTGGGAACTCACTGTGTATCCTCCAAGATGGCCCCTCAGGGTGGTTTGGGGCACTGGTGACCAGCTGACCTTCAGCAGTGTAGAGTTCAACACCTCCGCAGATACGTTATCGGGAGCCACCAAGGGCACTGGAAAGGGTAACAGAGTGCAAATCTGTTTAGGGGTAAACATTCCCGATGGATGGAAAAGGGCAAAAACTTGCAATTTTACACACACAACTATTTCCTCTAGCAACTAAAGCCAAAGAGGGAAAATGGGCTGTAAAAAGATGACACACTGACTGTTTGCAGGAAAAGAGCGCATGCTAACTCACATGAAAAAAATTTAATAAAAAAAATACTATAGAATATTTAAACCATATGAGCAACTCCACGCAAATGTCTTACCATCTTACCATGAAAAAAATAAGTTTTAAGTTTACCAAAATAGAGAAATAATTTCTACATTTTTGGTGTAAGCAAGTATTTTACAGTACTTAAAAACTACTCAAAAATGTCTCTGTCAGTGTTTTCAAACTATTACATTTAATTTAGCAAAGTCACACAAGTGCCAATTTCACATCTGTCACATCCATAACGGAAAGATGTTACATCTATAATGAAACTTTTACCTCATAAATGCAAAAAGTCAAATAAAATAAAATCAATCATGTTTGTTCTAGCCAACTCTTGTCTTTTTGATTAGTGTTGTTTCTTTTGGGTTGTGCAGTTTCATTCACAGGATTTCTACAAAGTATGTTGTATACTGTAAACTTGCTAACTTTTTTTTTGTCACATCCATAAGACATGATTATTCTCCTCATTCAAAATCTAAATAAAATGTTTACAAATTTATATTTTTCTGATCCTTTAACTCTGTGGGTATTTGTTTTGGAAAAAATAAACAGATTTTTCAGTATAATGGTATATATGTATAATGTAGCATTTAAGTTTAGAGTTTTTCTGCAAGTGTCACATCCACAATGCTAAAATTCCTTGCATAATAAAGTGTATTAAGAGGTTAAATTATGTATAGTATATTATTTATAACACTTTGTCAATGAATGCTGAAAAACTGTAATAAATACTGTTGTATGCTTCAGTTTTTACTACAGTAAACTGTTGTGTATTGTAGTATAATGTACCCTATAGCTGTAGACAAGTACAGTACTTGGTAATTTGTTTGTATTATTTAAGAATTATTGGTAATTTGTTGTGCTACCATAGCAACTAAAGTCCTATAAAACAAATGAATGTAAATGTGTTAGTATAGCATTGTTCTTAAACTGCTGTATTTGCTATAATTTACTATAGTATTCATTCACATGGGAAAGCAAAGCTAACCGCTGAGAAATTAGGGCACATGGAAAAGGGATGCAAACTCATCCAAGTTGCAAAGTGTAACATCACCTTTAAAATCTGCATTTACTATTGAATTTAGTGTCCAAATATAATTTAGAAAATATGGCAAAATATAATTTAACCAGAGAGATTTATTTTTAGAAGAAAAGTGCACTGGGGCCATTTCTGTAGTCAAAAGATTTGTAAAATATTCTCATTGCAAAATCATGCAAAAACATTGCATGTTTTCACATGCATATTAAAGAGGTGACCCAAACTCACAGAGGTTTCAGTTATTAAATAAAAATTTAGAATAGTTTGCTCCAAACCAAGCTAATTCAAGACAATGAAAACTTAGCTACACACACTACTGGTCAAAGGTTTGGGGTCAGTTGGATTTTTTAATTTTTTAAAATAAGCTTCTGCTCACCAAGGCTGCATTTATTTAATCAAAAATAAAGTGTAAAATTCTGATGTGTTATTGCACTATAAAAAACTGTTCAAAAGTCGGTTATCATTTAATTTAATAATTTTTTCCAGTGATTTTAATGATTTATTTTCAGCTACATTACTCCAGTTTTTCGTCACATGATCCTTCAGAAATCACTCTAATATTAATTATTATTCATTCATTCATTAATTTTCAACTGCTTTCCGGGGCCTGGTTGTGGGGGCAGCAGTCTTAGGAGAGAACCCCAGTCTTCCCTCTTTCTTCAAGCTTCTTTGGGGGATCTTGAGGCGTTTCCCCGGCCAGCCAAGACATATATATCTTCCAGTGTGTCCAGGGTCTTCCCTGAGGCCTCCTCCCGGTGGGACATGCCTGGAACACTTCCCTAGGTAGACACCCATGAGGCATCTGAAACAGATGCTTGAGCCACCTCGGCCGACTTCCCTCGATGCGGCTCCACTCTGAGCTCCTCCTGGGTGACAGAGCTCCTCACCCTATCTAAAAGGGTGCGCCCTGCCACCCTGCGAAAAAAAATAATCATAATAATTTCAGCCGCTTGTATTCGAGATCTTGTCCTTTTAGTCATGACCCAAAGCTCATGACCATAAGTGAGAATAGAAATGTAGATTGACGTTAAATCGAAAGCTTTGCCTTTCCGCTCAGCTCCTTCTTTACCACAACGGACCGGTACATCGACCACATTACTGCTGCCACTGCACCAATCTGCCTGTCAATCTCATGTTCCATCCTTCCCTCACTCGTAAACCAAACCCCAAAATACTTGAACTCCTCCACCTGGGCTAAGGACTTTCCTCAAACCTGGAGATGGCAAACCACCTTCCTCCGGTGGAGCACCATGGCCTCGGACTTGGAGGTGCTGATTCTCATCACAGCCACGTCACACTCTGCAGCAAACCACCCCAGTGCACTCCTCTAGCCCCATACTCCCAGAGCACCCCCTACAGAATGCTACGAGGGACGCGGTTGAATGTCTTCTCCAAGTCTGCAAAACACGTGGACTGGTTGGGAATACTCCCATGAACCCTCGAGCACCCTTGTGTTATTATTATTATTACTATTATTATTATTATTATTATTATTATTATTATTATTATTATTATTATTATTATTATTATTATTATTGTTATTATTATTATTATTATTATAAATGGTAATAGTAGTAAAAGCAATAATGACTGGAGTAATAATTTCATTTAAAACTACATACAATAAGTAAGAAATAAATATTTAAAAAATAAGTATTTAACAATTTATTTATTTCGTACATTTAATAAATGCAGCCTTGATGAACAGAATAATTTTCATTCTTTCATTCATTCATTCATTTTCTTTTGGGTCACCACAGCGGAATGAACCGCTAACTTATCCTGCACGTTTTTTCTCAGCTGATCAAATAATTTTATTTTAATGATTAAATAAAATGAATAATAATAAAAAAGACCCAAACTTTTGACCGGTAGTGTATTTAAATAAGCATAATACTGTAAAATGTTCTACTACATGGCTACATGGCTATTTTTGCAGAAAAATGACATGTTTGCATCCCTGCACTTTCCAATAGCTACACGACAGCTGTCAGGAGCTATCTACAACTAAACATTTCATGTTTGCGTGTATCAACATCGCAGGAATAAAACGGACAAAGGCAGCCCAACCTGTTGCATCACCCTCGAGACAATGCCAAATGTCGACTAGAGACAAGAGCATGAGAAAATATGAAATTGAATAAAGCAAAAGATAATCACATAAGTGCTTGGCAAAGACTGTGTCTGATCCCTAAAAGCACTATGAAAAAGCTCAGCAGAAATGACAGTAAAGAGTGGATTAACGCACTCTCCCAAATAATCTTCTAATCTTAAGTGTTTATCATTGGCTAATCGCAGCGGTGTCACACGACTGTCAATGCATTTATTTCACTTACAGTCTTCCCCAGAATAACCAGTCACCACTTTGGGTCCTGGTGCCCAGCCGTGGCGGTTGAAGGCCTGGATTTTGACTTCATAGGGGACGAATGTCGGGGTGTCTCGCACCACAAAAGAGTGTCTCTTTACCATCTGCTCTTTCCAACTGTCCTCGACACCCAGGAGCCTGTAGCTCAGTTTGTATTCCAGACCGGGACCGTTGTGCTCCACCGGCAAGAGCGGCTGGTGATTAAAGGGAAAAGTGGGTCAGTGCACTGCAAACATTGGGAACATTTGGAAAGAATGGAAGTATTTGCGAGACATTTGCTGATGGGTTTGCAAGATCTGGCGTGGGAACCTAGTTTCTGGGGTGCCTCGCTTGGCTTTTCGTCAGATTTGATGATTTCTGACTCATAAATAGAGCATAAATTGGCCTGTGGATGGAGATTTGCTCATATACTTGACTGCCACTGCAGATTAAGTTGTTATGGCTTTAAAGCGGTGAGAGACCATACTTTCAGGAGCTCCAAGAACATTCGGTTCCCGAGTCTCCTTGCATGAGGGTGTTTGCCTTTCTCTTGAATCCAAGGCATGCATATATGCATATGCATTAAAGCAGTTTGACAATGCTGTTTGCATTTTATTACCTCCCAGCTGATGTCCATCTGATGTGGCAGGTGACCCTCAATCTTAATGTTTTCTGGGTTCCTGTCAGGAGCTGTACAAATGTGAATATGAATTATTTAACATCTGTCTCAGTCAATAATGCCATTGCCCTCTAACACTGCCAATGTGTATCACACATAATGTCGAGCATGCAGTCATTGATAGTCGGAGACAGTGCTCACTTAAAAGAACATTAAAATTTATGGAGCTTTTATAGACATCTGTATAATTTTCTCAGGGTAAATCCCCACAAAGGCATAGAGACAGGCGCTTCAAATGAGTCCAAGGTGAACCAAGGGCAGACACTGGATTAAGGCACTGCAAAAGCCTTCCATGATAACAGGTATGCCAAAACTTTGTTTAAGATTTAGTAATAGATTTAATTAGACCGAGTTTACTAATTAACCCTTTAAACTATTTTGTTTAAGTGACATTTATTAAATATGAAATAGTAATTGTGTGAACTAGTGAAATGCTGTCATTATTTAGGAACATACAACCATATATCAAAGAAATAGTGTTACTAATAGTGTTACTATACAAATACTTGTTCCAAACCAGTTTGAGTTTATGCATGTACAGCTAAAGTCAGAATTTTTAACCCCCCTGTTTATTTTTTCCACAAATTCTGTTTAATATAGAGAAGATTTTTTCAACATATTTCTAAATATAATAGTTTTAATAAATCTAATAACTGATTGATTTTATATTTGCCATAATGACAGTAAATAATTAAGACACTTTTATACAGCTTAAAGTGACATTTTAAGGCTTAACTAGGTTAATTAGGTTAACTGAGCAGGTCAGGGTTATTAGGCAAGTTATTGTATAATAATAGTTTGTTCTGTAGACAATTGGGAAAAATATTTATAGCTTAAAGGGGCTAATAATTTTGTCCTTAAATTTTTTTATTTTTTTCCAAAAATAAATACTGCTTTTATTTTAGCCGAAATAAAACACTTTTTCCAGGAGAAAACATATTATCAGACATACTTCGAAAAGTCCCTTGCTTTGTTAAACATCATTTGGGAAATATTTAAAAACGAAAAAAACTAACAAAAAACAAAACAAAAAACAAAAACAAAGGGGGGCTAATAATTTTGACTTTTACTGTATGTATATATTTGTTTGTTTGTTTGTTTGTTTGTTTGTTTGTTTGTTTGTTTGTTTGTTTGTTTGTTTTATTGAACACTAAAACAAACAAAAAAATTAAGAATGCAAGAAAAATGTTGACTTCTATAGAATTTGTTTTTTTTTTTCTACTATAATAGCTAGTATGGGGCGAAGCAGTGTCGCAGTAGGTAGTGTTGTTGCCTCACAGCAAAAAAGTCGCTGGTTTGAACCTCAGCACAGTTGGCATTTCTGTGAGGAGTTTGCATGTTCTCCCTGCGTTCGCGTGGGTTTCCTCCACAGTCCAAAGACATACTGTAGGGAATTGGGTAGTCTAAAATTGTCCATGGTGTATGAGTGTATGAGGGTGACAGGCCCAGACGACAGGCCGTCCCGAATGTGTAAAAATATCCTTATCATATGGACAAGTCTAAATGGAGGACTTGTTCCAAAGAGCCGAACCTGCAACCATACGGGACTAAGGCCAAAGAAGAAGTAGAAGAAGACTATAATAGCTAGTATGGATGTCAGTGGTTTCCTGTTCTATTTCCAACATTATAATATCTTTGTTGTGGGTGTTCAACAGAACAATAAAAAATAATCAACCCAAATTCATTCTGGAAACGTAGCCCCATGGACATTTCTGGAGACCACAATTTACGAGGCCGAAGGTACATATGGCCGCGTTTTGTTATTTTTATCGAGCGAACGATGTGGGGCGGTGTGACACCGCTTCGCTCCTCATCTTCGCGCTCGCTGGCTGACAGCTCGCCTCCAGGTGGAGGGCTTTCCTGCCTCAACCAGTTTGTCCGCTTAGCTTGCAGCGTTACGTCGGCGTAGCGGAGGCCCGGAGGGAGGAGGAGCCGGCCACGGCGACAACCGGGATCGAGTCCGGGGGAGAGCGGTTCCAGAAATCAAGTGAGATGAAAAACAGAATCCAAAAAAAAAAGCCAACGAGTTCGCGACGGGGCGAGATCCGAAAACGTGGTCATAATCGGACAAGGGCTTTTGATTTTTTTTCTGGACGGCTTTTGCAAATTGTCGCTTGGGTTTAGGGAAGGGGGAGGAGGTCGATCGTTCAGTCGTTCAGCCAGTCAGTTGGACGGACGGCCGCTCTACCGCGGCCTCCGGCGGCTTTTCACGCGAAAACAGCGCTGGCGCGAACGGCACGCGCTCCCGAGAGGCGTCCGAGACGTGAAAAAGCATGCACAGCGGCCTCTCGCGGACTCGCGAAAACAAAAACTGCTCGAATACGTACCTCCTGGGACGTATTTTGCGGCCTCCAGAAAATGTCCGCTGGGCTGGGTTTCCACAATGAGCCCGGGTTGACAATAATAGTAAATTATGATTTTTTTTTATGAATTAAAAAAAAAAATAGGTAAATTTGTTTGGAACAAGTCAAGGGTGAGTAAATGATGACATAATTCTCTTTTTTTAAAGTGAATTCCACATTCAAGGCTAAACTATTCTCAAAAACGTCACAGCAAAATTATTATTGTGAGTTATTTTAATAAAGATTTCACAATAATCATCTTTCTAGCTATTGCTCTTGATGCAAATGGGGCCTTGCAAGTTCAATTTAGGACAGTGCATTATCCTGATGAACCATTTTATGTTGCATTAAAGTTTAGGTTTCTTTAGAGTTTAGATTGTAGTCTTTTTGTTGTTCAGTTAGAGCATATATTGTAAGTTTAAATAAACTTTCAAGTAAACTTTAGAGACATACTGAGAGTGACATAATGAATAATTTACCTCAGATCCTGAAAATATGTTTAAAACGTGATCTGTGAAACTGCGAACTCTGTATTAACAAATGCCATGACAAAGATTTATATACTTTTAATAATTATTAAGTTAAAACTTAAGTACCATTTTTACTATTAACTGGCTTATTACTTGCCAATTATTAACTTATTTGCTTATAGAATACATATTCTGCATTATCTTATTCTGTATCCTATTAATATTAAATAATTAATATTAATATTAATAACTAGGTCCACAAGGAATCTGCATGCACAAATTTTTAACCCATCATTTTAGCCCTTGAGTCTATTTATTTACTTTGCATATTTATATTTATTCAGTTTTAAAAAAATAATTTCAGTAATATTACATACTAACATGAAAGTCTCCATATGATTTAATAACAATACAGTTTGTAAAGTAATATTTTCTGTCTTTTAGTATAGATATATAATATGATATACTTGCTTTGTTTACCAAATAATGGATCTAGATACATAAAAGTGAAAATGCTATTATTTGTTTATTACATATAAGTTTTTATTTATGATACTCCCAAAATAATTTCACATAAATTCACAATTTTTTTTTTACAAAATTCTTAGCAAAATTAGCCAAAAATGTCCTCTGATTCTCTCTGGCCCTTCTAACAGCTATAATATTAAATTAATACTATTAATTAATTAGCAGCAAATTAGAAGTTAATTGAGACAAAAGTCATAGTTAATGGCTTATAATAGCACAAATTGTTACTTAAAAGAAAATGTTACCATGACATTTGTTAAAATACATCAATTAGATAAGAAACTTTACTGTTTTATTGTAAATGCAGTGTGCTTGCCCTTTAAAAATATATCCATTCAGTACCTGTCAAAAAATCCCTTAAAATGTAAAAGATTATAGATTTTTTTATTATTATTATTAATTCATTAATTCATTAATTAATTAATTCATTCATTCATTAATTTTCCCTTGGCTTAGTCCCTTATTTATCAGGGGTCGCCACAGCGAAATGAACCGCAAACAATTCATGTGTTTTCACAGTGGATGCCCTTCCATATAAACACCCATACACTCTCGCATTCTCACACACACACACACACACACACACACACACACGCACACACACACACACACACACACACAATCATACACTACGGCCAATGTAGTTTTTACCAAATTCACCTATAGTGCTTGTCTTTAGACTGTGGGTGAAACCAAAGCACCCGGAGGAAACACACACAAACACAGGGAAAACATGCAAACTCCAAACAGAAATGCCAACTGATCCAGTCGGGACTCAAATCAGCACCCTTCTTGCTGTAAGACGACAGTGCTAACCACTGTGCCACCATGCCACCCTTTTTATTATTTAATCATTCAAGTAAATAAATGATCAACATACCACATGGAGGTGTTTTATATCTTCCTGAGGGCATACTGGGATGACTTCTCCCTATTTCATTGACAGCAATGACTCTGAACTGGTAGTTAATGTGGCAGTACAGAGCCAAGGGGGCTGAGAACTTCCTGCTAGACACTCGAAGAAGATCTTTCCACTTCTCTGGCTCCCAGTGGCTCTCTTCGTACTGGATGATGAACTCTAGTCACAGAAACAGTGCACATTGGTCATTGAATATGCAGAGCGCGCACTCTCAATACACTGGTGTGCGGCCCCTGTGGGAGCCCCTCTTGAAATATTGTAGAGCAATGTTTGAGTATGAGCATCGCCCATGAAAAGGACTTCAGAGAAATGAGCTTAAAGAAAAAAAGCCAACTTCAAAAGTGCTGCAAATGCGGAGGGTAATGGATGTGTGTTGCGTTTGTTCTGTAACCCTGGGAATATAGTGCATTTATGGGGTTTACGTTGTACCTGTTATGGGACTGTTGTGATCACTGGTGTTCACCCAATGGAGCTTCACACTGCGGTCTTTCAGATCACTGAGCAATAATTCAACCGGAGGATCGGGGACATCTGTGTCACATGTCAGACAAAAAGCCATGAGCAAAATCAGATGACAATAACAGTGTTTTTATGAGAAACAGAATAGCGTAATGTAACACTCTACTTTTTTAGGCTTATCTAGTTCCCTAGAATTAAACAGTTGAGTTTTATCATATTCAAACCAATCCCTGGGTCTTGTGGAAGCACTTATAGCTTAGCTTAGCATAAATCATTAAATCGGATTTGACCATTAGCATCTCATTTTAAAAAGTCTGATAAATAAAATGGCTGCAGCAGATGCAATGGTATTCCACACTGCTGTAACCTTATTAACCAGCTGGGTACTATTTTCATGCACTGTATAATATTAATGCACCTGCTGTTAAACTCCTTGTTAAATAAAAAATGGCCTAAAAATAGCATATTTATTAAATATTTGAATATTTATTTTCCATCGGTTTCAGGACATGATGTTGCTACAGAAGAGTCAAGCTTTAATTAGAAAAAAAATATTTCAGAACTCTTTAAATTTAAGTGAAATGCTAATGGTCTAATGCGATTCAATGATTTATGCTAAGCTAAGCTAAAAGTGTGGATTCTAGCAATGAAATAACTTAACTGTTAAACTAGGGCAATTGTAAAATTGAGCCTATTTACATAAAATATGCAGGTTCCTTTAAAATAAAAACTGGTGCATTTTGAAGTACATTTTCCCATACAGGATTTTTATTGTGGTACTAAAGTAATCTGCAGAAATCTAACAACACAATCTAGTTCTTATTCAGGCTGTTCTCAAAAGGTCATTCAGTCATACCTAAGACTGTTATGTATGCAGAAGCTGTATCTTGGTCCAGTGATGTTCGAACAATACAGGTGTAATTCCCTTGATCACTGTGACTCACGTTGAATATCTGAAGAATTCCTTCATCTGTAAAATACCTGCAAATAACCCCAAATGGGTTCATACTGTATTCAAAACATAAAATAGTAGGAAACAAATAACAAACGTGGAAAAACTCATGTATACCTTAATAAGACATCTATAGCAAGTCATTTAAAAATTTCATCTAAAAAACACACAAGTATCATTTTTCATGCAACTTCTTATTTTTAAAATACTATTTCAGCTCAAATCGTTTAAAGTTTACTTGTATATTGCTTTTCACAATAATTGGCATTCCAAAGCAGCTTCACAAAAAGTCCACACCATTTTATGACAATCAAGTTCAAAGTCAAAATACAATTTTTTTTTTCAATTAGTATTAGTACACATTTATTAGATACTAATACATATTTATTACATCAAGTAGAGTAAATAGATACCACTACCTTTGAATAGATATAGCTACTATATATGTATAAATGTATATATATATATATATATATATATATACATTTATATATATATATAAATGCAAAGGCCTGATTGTCTAAAATTTACTTCAGCTTTGCAGCAAAACGTCCTGTGAGCACAGAATTTGCAGTTGAGATTGCAGTTTTTAGAAAATTAGTATTAGTAAAAAAAGAGGACGTATGTATGGGTGCGGCCAATGGAGGACTGGAGAATGATTGATAAGTGCCGAATTTCACTAAACTCCACATGTATAAAAGCGAGAATCAGGAAATTAAATTGGTAGCGCACCTACTAAATGTAACTTTTGCATTGCATTGGGGACACCAGAATTCGCTGAATCGAATTGTTAATTTGTGTCCAATAAATTACTAAGGTTTTTGAAGAAAAACCTCTCCTGACCTTTTTTTTTTTAAACACATATGAACAGACAAAATATTCCACCAAATTTTTATACATATATAAATGATAAAGATAAAATTTATATTCTGATAATATGAATAAAATATATATTTTATTATTGTTATTGTTATTATTATTATTATTATTATTATTATTATTATTATTATTATTATTATTATTATTATTATTATTATTATCTTCATTATTATTTATTTTTATTTATATATATATATATATATATATATATATATATTTATTTATTTTAATAGTATGCATATACATGATCAAATTTATATTTGTGAATAAAATATTATAAGTACATAAAATAAATAAGTACAAAATAATTAACAATAAAATATTGTTAATTAAATTATACAAATGAGGAGTTTATTATCTGGCCAAATCTGAAGGTTAATGAGATTGTTTGACTTGTAGAGCCTTTTTCTGTATCATCAACACAAGGAAGACACAATTGTAATAAATGTGTATTTATTAATAAAATAGTAAACAAAGGTAACTAAAATTACTAAATGTACAATAAATGAAGTGCATAGGAAACTTATGAAGGCGGTTAAGTCAAGGTAAGGTAAACATTATTCTAAAATAACAAAGAACTGAGGAAGTATTTTGTTATTAATGAATATTAGTTATAAACATCTAATTAATTAGAATATTTTATACTGAAACACACTGCCAAGGTCTAATTTAGAGGGTTGGAAAGAGGAATATTTGAGTTTCTGCCTTTATGCAGTGGTTGGAAGACGTTGGATCTTCTTGCAAATCTTGAAGCATGGAACGGGCAGAATTTGCTCTCTTGAGCTTTGAGAAGAAGAAATCTGTATTCTGGAACACGCAGAAATTGGAGATTTCTGAAGGTGGTGGTTCAATGTCACTAATATGCCAATGTTTTCATCCTAAAGCGTAGAAATCTGAATTTTCTGTAACATGCAGAAATTTGTAGATTTCTGGAGGTCGTGGTTCGATGACTGGGACACGCCAACGTCTTTATCCTTGAGCGTAGAAATTTGTATATTCTGGAACACACAGAAATTGAGATTTCTGGCGGTGGTGGTTTATTGTCAGGGACACGCCGACATCTTTTCCTTGAAGGTAAAGTTCCAGGAAATCTGGGACACACAGATTTCTGGAGGTGGTAGTCTTAAAGCTATGGTTTCAGACGCCTTGGAAAAAAGCACTGTGAATCCAATTGCCAAATCCTTGCTGAAACACGTAGCAAAAGTTTTGATACCACTCATTGTTACTACCACACTTCTGCACCACTCCTGCTCTGAACCAAACCAGACTGAACTGAACCACCCTAAACTGAACCACTGAACTGAACCACTCTTGTTTGAAAGAATGTCTTTAATACTTTCTCTGGAAGGCGGGATTGAAAGGATGTCACCTTTCAAATCCAGCATTGTGAGTTGGTCACTGGGAGATGTCATCCATAATGTGACCTGCATTTGCATAGTCATAGTCCACCGGGTAACCATTATAATATTTAAGAGTCTAAAATATTTTCCTATGCATAATTCACTTTGCACATCTAATTTACCCAAGGCATTATTTGCAATATAGAGAGTCTAAACACCACTATGGAATATTAATCTTTACCCAAGCATTCATATATAAACCTTAATAAGCAAAGTTTCATACAGTGGAGTATTTCAAAAATATATACATGATTATTTGAATATACAGGGATATGAAGTGAAATATACAGGGATATGAAGTGAAATATTCCATTTATGTCTCTTTTTTGAAATGTAAGTTTTCTGATCTATGTGTCTCTCTATGACTTGGGACGATGTCGAATGTTGATTGGATCAAGAAGCTGTTTTGCAAGTTCTTGGCTCTTAACACCTTTGTCTTTCAGATAAACAAAAGACAGATGGTCACTGTCTCAATTGCCACTTTCAGATGAGCTTAAGAAAAGGTTCAGAGTTTAGTGTAAACTCTGCAGCATTTGTTCATACTGGAAATTAATTTCCACAAGTTAGTAAACAAACAAACAAAGAAACAATTCCTTCACTCAATCGTCCATCTGTTCGTTCATTCATTCATTAATACGTACATTAATACGTACATGCATACATGCAAAACCCGCCACAAAAAATAAGGTGACTGAATTTGCTGTGGATTAACCAAGATAGAATCCTATAGTGTCAGTTAAATGAAGCAACCACTTATAGTGTGTTTGGCCTCTTTAAAAATAATAGAGGCTATCTAGTTTGCCTCAGGACAGCCTAGACCCATTGTCAATGGCTTTTATTCTGTTTGAAAAGGAGCTGCACTGAATGTTGTCATGACAATCAATAAACGGCTCTTTTCTGCTCGCTTTGTGTTTTTGTCTGCAATTGTTTTAATTAATAAAAAAATGATTTGCAGTTGAAGTGGAACTAATCTGTTGTGCACAAGGAAATCTCAGGCCTGCTAATTGGAGACCTGCGGTAAAAAAAAAATATGCTAACGTGATTTGTCTTCAAGCGGATAACTTGTAGTCACAGTAACGTAACGAAGCACAGTATTACTGTACATTGCACTTACACAGAAGATCCTGTTGGGCATCAAGCCTAGTGGAAAATAGGTTAAAGCTCCTGCTCATTAGCTGGAGTACCTTTTGATTTTCAAGAGAGACATTCCCCTACAAGAGCTTACCATTACTGATAAAAGCCTCACAATTACTGTACATCTAGCTTCACTTTGTTGCTACAAAGTGTTAGCACTTAATCCACGATTCCAGCAATGATAAAACTATAAATGTAATGTCCACACTTCAGAAATGTCATATAACTCACACTAATCCTTTCTGTTTTAACAGCACAATCCCTTTGAAAACTAGGATTTGCTTAAAGCTTCTATGAAAAGCCTCTATAGTAGTCAACATTTAAAGTGGATCAAAACCTTTAACCAAAGTGGTCCTAAAACTATTTAACTTTAAATGTAGACTACTGTATATAGTCTATCTTTTTGGAAGTTTGGTATCAGCATTGCTTCAAATCTATTTGCAACTTTTATTTCTATTCAAGCAAGGAAAATGAACTTTGCCATGAGCTTATTAGTGCACTAAATTGCGTTCAGTAGTCTTGTATGTTACAAGTCTAGGATTTTAAGTATGAGTTGCCGAATGCAATTCACTTAATGGCCACTGGTGCAATAATAACAACAATTCTGCAACTAATGAGTCTTAACTTAAAAAAAGAGCGACTGACTATGATGTCCGAGGTTGTTGATTTATGTTAACCTGTCAGGATTCTGCTACTTCAGTCTTGTTAATTCCTGTTTTGGTGTTCAGAAACTAGTCCTGTCTTATCTAGTATGTTGTGCTCGGCTCAAGTTTTCTCAGGTCGAGCACTCACTTCCTGTCATTGTACATTTTCACCTTTGTATGAGTGCCGTCTTTGTTATGCTCGGGCTACATGCTCTCGTCCTGGTGTTTGTTATTCTCAGCGCCTCAGTCTAGTTGGTTTCAGTTGGTGCTGAGATGAAACATGCACGTCGCATAGGTGAGTTCACAAAGTTCAAGTGTTTTTATTTATCATGTGCTCGTGTCTTACGTTCCGTCTTCTGTAGGTGTTACGTTTATCACATGGTTCATGTTTACAAAGAGGCAGGCAGCAAACAGGATTAAACAAATAAACAAGGCAAGGATCAAAAACACAGTAAAGCAAGACAAAGGGAACCCGTTGTACTAGAACATGTCACTAGAACATATAACAAGACTCAGCTACAGTGAGTGTTTCTGTGCTGTTTATGTAGTGCAGTAATCATTCCAGAAGCAGCATTAGCTGTGGGAGTCTAATCAGTTGAAACTTGGAGCAGGTGTGTGTGTGTGTGTGTGTGTGTGTGTGTGTGTGTGTGTGTGTGTGTGTGTGTGTGTGTGTGTGTGTGTGTGTGTGTGTGTGTGTGGCATGACTGAATATGTAGACCATAAATGGCCGATTTGTAGTCCTTTTGCAATCTGCAGCTACTAGATCGCTGGTGATCATGACATCTACAGTTAATTTTTAAACAATAAGGGAATTATAAATTAAATTTAGTTAGCTTATATAACAAATGCATGAAAAATTAGGTGAAAATGAGAGGGCACATAAAAAGGACATAAATATCCACCAATAGGATTATTTTGGATGATGAAAGCATTTTTAAAACAGCACCTTAATCAAAAAAGACTGAATAAAAAGGACCAAAATAAGTGAGCTATACTTATATACTTAAGAGCAGGTACATCAATGTCACTTTTAACATTGCTGCATAAAAAGCTCGACAATAAAATATTTTATAATCACTTATTTTTATATAAAATATATATATTTATATACATTTTTTTTACTTAATTTGTTAAGAAATCTTTATAGGGGTGTCGGGATCAATGATGATAATTATTTTATTACAAGCCTGTAAGACTTATTTGAGTTAATGTTTAGGTTGTTCGCTAATATTATCACAACATAACTTCACAAGTGACCTCCTTTCTGGCACAGTAGCCAAGATGTTCTCTTTAATCCCTTAATGAAAGCCATCATATTTCCACATGTGGACAATTCAGAAACGTGCAAGCGTGTGTATTTATTTGTTTCTATAAATATGCAAGTGATGCTATTTGAACATTTATTATGTTAACATTTATTATATATATATAGTGTTTAATATTTGTTTGTTTTCATTTATTTTGTTGTGAAAAACACTTTAGGCTGGTATGAGTGTCTGTGGTTGGTCTAATTAAAAGTTAGATCAATCTTTAGGATTGTAAACAGTTATCGTCATCTTCATTATTAAACATTGCTAAATTGTTCTTGCTCATTTTAGAAACTAACCACTTTAATATAAAATAAAATCAAATATATTCTTTACACACCAACACATGAATTACCCCTGAAGCACTTTTTGTTTGTTTGTTTGTTAGTTTTCTTTCTTTCATTTATATTTTATAAGTTACAATTGTGACTCATCTCATATCTGGCAACTTTTTTGTGTATGAGATAAATCAATGAAAGAAAAAAACTTTTGAAACAAACCCAGAAGGCCACTAATGCACTCTATTCGGGACAATCTACCTCTTTTTACCACTTAGGAAAGACAGGTGACCTACCTTTCTGAGGAGTTCGAGAGGATATTTATCCCATCTTTGAGCCAAACGAACTCCAGCTCTCTTCTCAGAGACGGGTCGCACTCCACCTGGCACTCCAGCTCGGCCACAGATCCCCGGATGACCTTCATGTCTTGAGGAGCCTCCACGATCCTAGTGGAATCTGTCAACACCAGGCCTTTAGTTTCAGTAATGGCCGGCGAGCAGAAAGCTTTTTGATTAAGGAAGGTGGCTAACCTTTAATGAAAAGTTCAGTGGTGATGCTTGCAGTGCCCTCGGAGTTGTTTGCCAAGCATTTGTACTGGCCCATATCTTCCATCTCGACTTTGTGAATCTGCAGGGAGCCATTCTTCAGCAGAGAATATCTCTCTCCATCTACAGAGCCCTCTGGGTCTTCTCTTCTCCTACAAAACAAACATTGAACCCTTCACAGCTCTTCTCGAATAAAGGCCCATGGGAAGAGCCTTTACTGAAATGACTACAGATGCTCTGTTGATAAAACCGAATCCAATGTAGCCTAGTTTTTTTTCATACCCCTTTTTTTAACCATGACTTTCAACATTGACCAAAGGTTTTTTGAAAGGAAACTTTTCAAAGAGGAAAAAGAGTATAAATATGAGTGCAAAAGGAGGATCCCCTAGAGAGAGCAGACATTTCAAAAGGGCGATAGATCTGGCAGTGTCTTTTCTCCACGTATTGTCCCTTTTTCCTTCATTTAATTCTCTTGACCCTGCAGTGCTGTTATCGGGATCTACGGCTATCATTCTCCAGTGATCTGACCACCAGCTTCAGTAATACTCTGCAGACAACCTGACAGAGTCATTTAGAATGTGTAAGAAAATATTTCTTGAATTTTCACAATTAAAGAGTCCCTATTATGGGTTTTTAAAAATTACTTTGTATGCAGTGTGTAATACAACACTAAGTAAATAAAAACATACAGCTGAGGTTTAAATCTGAAAGTGCACCGTGTTTAAAGCTATTGATTCTTTATCGAAATAGTCGACTCAGAGAATAAATTAATCGTGTTGGGTTTCGATCTTTTGCTTGAACGCGTCAGCATCAATATGGTACATCACCAAATATGAAATGGCGGCTCTGACAAAACGTGAACACGCCTTTCCCTTCAGACACTAGCAAAGCTTGGGGGATCACGGGACTGATTATGACACGAAGATGACGATAACTGACAGATGGGGGTCGACTGCGAGAAATAAAGGGTTAAAGTTAATTTTAACAACAACACCACAGTATAGCTAACTGTGTGCTTTATTTGCTCCTGTAATTATTCAGATTTTTGATACAACAGCCTACGCTGCAATACGGGATTAGTCGGTTGCTTCCTATTGAAGGAAGGAGCAGCAGAGACTATTATGCATGGGACTTTGTAAGTCTTTGAAAGGGACTTTGTCTGTAACTGTTACAATTCATATGGACCAGTTTCTTCTTCCTCCAGATCATAACGTGTAAGAATAATTAGAACTGTTGTCTCATTTTGAGTAGTTTGCAAAATATTTGTTTAATTGTGTGTTGCAACTTGTACTTGCTCTGCGTGGTCTGTAATCACTTATCTATTATAGATCATTGCTTGTAATGTATCTCTCAGGTTAAACCTTCATTAATATTCAGCTATTAATGTGAGCAAAATTACATACAATTTGTAGTAAAAGATTTGTTAAATATGATGCAATAACTTGTGGGCTGCATGCTTTACACTTTTGGATATGCACATAAAAAAACAGTTGATGTGAAACACCAAGATGTGCATCAATTTTGAAAATAGGCATAAAAAACATGCGCATAACTGAGTAGATAAACTTTTAATTCAATAAGACAAGCATAAACTGTGATGGAAACACTTACCGAACAAATTCTAGGATGTGTATTTAAAAAGGTCATGTGATTTTATTATAAGAGATCATGTGATGATAAAAATGTGTGTGAATGGACAAACCAGCAGGCTGAGCACACTGTAAACCATCTGAAATGTTGTTTTGGTCATGCTAAAACGCCTTAACCATTTCGGTATTAGTGTTATTATTAGTGTTAATATTATTCATGACCTCTAGAATTAAGAGAGTCTGTGATCTGCATATCACGCCTTCAAATGGCACCGTGCATTCAATGCTGGTGAGGATTGCCTTCTAAGGTGTCATTTTTTTAAATCAAGAAAAGATTGACGCTGCGTCGCCTATCACAGCAAATTCCATTTTTACTGTTGATATTATACATTTAAACCCCTTGTGGAGAACCACCCCATGAACCAAGAACATATACAGTATGTATATATATATATATATTATATATATATATATATATATATATATATATATATATATATATATATATATATATATATACACACTGTAAACTATTTACTATTTTCTATTTTCCTGACTGTATATAACTACTACTGTGAGAAAATATCAGCAATTGGTACATACTTTCAATATTACTTTTGCTTGAAATGACCAAATCTAATCCTGTTTTTAAGAAATAAGCCTGCTCCTGAGCATGTTTGAGCTACCAGAACTGTTGTATAACAACAACTCTGGGATGAGTTTTGAAGACCTAAACAATCCTGGATCATGTCAAATCGTCAATAACCAAATCCTTCTAATTGTGTAATCCACATACAAAGAATGGACGGACGAAGAATTGTTGTCATAGCAACAGTTCTGGCAGTTCAAACATGCTCGAGATAAATAATAAAAAAAAAAACATATATAGTTACAGTTTAAGCTTAAAGTTGAAGAAAAAATATAAATAAAATTGTCACAGGGTCGTTCTCCTCAAGTGGTTTAAAATAGGAAATGTAATAATATAGACTTTTATATCCACAATATTCAACAGTTTTATGTATGTATATATATATATATATATATATATATATATATATTAGGAATAATAATTTATGCATTCTTGCACATGGTTTGACAGCTAATATGCTGGTGATTTGATGCTTCACAAAAAATGCAGCCACTTTTTCGATATCAAAATGCTTTTTTGATGCAAAATGTATTAAAATAGCTAGTTATTCCTTATGTTACATTATTAAGAAACTTGAATAGGCCTAGGCTACTGTAATAAAGAAAATCTGCTCTAAAGTAAAACTAAATAAAAATGTCTAAATACTCTTAACACATGAAAGTGTACAGCCTGCAGCTTACAACAAATGTGGAAAGTTATTGCGTGTCATATTTAACAAACCGTTTACTGCTAATTTTATGTAATTTTGCTCACATGGATAATTGAATATTAATCAGATGATGTCATTACGCTGCTGTGCCGTCAGCCAATAGTTGCATTGCTGGTCATGATTTCGAGGATTAATAGATCTGTCCTTTACAACACACACAGCGATCTCAGATGAGTTCATCCAGACATTTTAATCTGATTCGCAAACTTGTTTGAAGAACCAAATTAGCCAGAGATCAGTTATCAAGATGAACAGATCCAGGATCCACCAAATGATCATAGATCATTTAAGCGAGGTAGGAAGAATGGACCCCTGGTCTGAACCCTGCTTTGGTTTACAATCAAAATGACTTTATATAACTTAATTATCTTTATAGCTATCACGCTTGGCATAAACGGGTCTTTACGGATACAGAAACCAATGAAAAAATGAAAAAAATGCTTGTTACTTGTCAGAGTTGGTTTGAGACAGAAAAAACACTGTTGAAAAAAAAATACAGACACCCTACTTGTGTCTTATCATGTTGCGTCTATTTAGGACTTGGTGTTGAATGCTTGTTACCAAACTCACCAGTTAAGGGTGGCAGGTGGTGAACTAAAGACATTGCAGTCCATAATCACACTCTTGCCCAACATGGTTGCATACTCCAGATAATTCCTCGTCAGAATCAAAGGAGGGTGATCTGAGGGAAAAACCAGACCATTAGTCAAAACATTCGCGCACGCAGACAAACATCAAACAGCCAGTGTGGCGTATGGCTCACTTTCTGCGGTGCAGTCTGAAACCGAGGCGCAGTTCCCAAAATTACAATTAAACCGTAAAAAAAAAAAAACATTAGCATATAAAAGAGCTCAGTTCTTCTGCCAGCTACAAACAGACAACAGTGACCGAAGTGGTTTGTGTACACACTCTCATGCGCGTTTCATGTTTTTCTTCGACATCAATTACGTAGGAACAGATGCTAACACCCTTAAGCCATTGCATGTCAGCAGGAGCATCACATCATAATCAAAGCCACGGAAACTTCAATGAGGACAACAATCCTCTCTTATGGCGAGATGATTAATTGATGCATGTAAATTAGGTGGGCTGCGCGTGAGTAGCTCAAACCTATTATTGCGCCGGAAGATTAGTAATATGATAATAATCACTTTCGTCCAATTTGCGCAGGTACCTGTAAGTGAAGTACTCACTCATGACTAGCACATTAGCATTGGCCAGTAGGCTGCCGTGTTTGTTGGAGGCCTCACACTGGTACACAGCGGTATCTTTCTGCTCCGCTTTGAGTATGATTATTCTGTCGTCAAGCATTTTGTGATGGGTGGAAGGGAAATCTGAGAAGAAAAACAGCCTAAATTAGCACAGATAACATTGGGTTAGGAAAGACTAGCCTAATACAGTTCCGTTATTTGGTACAACACTGTAAAAAATGTAGGGTTCCACACAATTCATTCATGTTGTCCCAAAACAAATTGATTAAGTAAATTTAACACTTTTAACAAATTGCTGTGCATCGAACATAAAAAAATAAGTTTTCCCTATGAAATCTCAATAATTGTGTTGTTTCAGCTCATTTTAATTAAGTAGTTTGAACAAGTAAAAAAAAATTATTTAAATGCTTTTGTAAACATGTTTCATGAAGGCTGCTCTCATTTTATTAAAAATAGTTATACAAATTTTAAATCCAAATTTAACAAACAGTGTAATTTATTTCTGCAACGCAAAGATGAATTTTCAGCATCATTATTCTATTATTTACTCCCTGTTGTTTTTTTTTTAATTGTCCTATTGTTCTTATATGAAGATTTAATGATCATAAAACCATACAACTGTGCTGCTTAATACATTTTTGTGGAGACTGCAAAAACAGTTTTACAGGCCTTTATAATTTCTGTGTTGTATAAAGGTTTGAATACTGCTGAAATATGCTATTCAAAAAATAAGAAATTATGTATTTTAATTAATCACGTAAAAAAAAGTAGTGATGGCCTAAAAGTGCCCTACGAGTTTTTTTCTTTTTCTTTTTTTTTTATAAATTGAAGGGTTGAACAAGTATGACCTTCAAATCTAGAAAAAGGATTTATTACAAAATATTCAACCACACCCGTTAACCAATCATGAGCTTTGTCTTGTAGGAGGGTGATTATGGCGTAGCGCCTGTTGTTGGTGTCTTGGGGGAATATTTTGTCTGTAAAAATAAAAGCATTTTTTTTACATTTTAAGGTCATTATTATTAGACCCTTAAGCATTTTTATTGGCTACAGAACAAACCATACAATGACTTTCCTAATTACAATAACTTAACTTGGTTACCTAGTTTGCCTAGTATTTAGGTTTCACAATAATCAAAATACTAGTATCTTAAAAAATCTAGAAAAATATTAGCTATATACTGTCATCATGATAAATATATAAAAAATATTATACATTTTATATTATAAATGAGTTCTTAAAACAATTAAGTTTAGAAACCAGTTAAAAAAAAAACTCTTTGTAAACAGAAATTGAGAAAAATAAAATAAAATATAAAAGAGCAAAAGTTTAACAGTAGGGCTTATAATTCTCACTTCAACAATACATATGGCTAAATTTAAGATTTCATCCATAAAAATTACTTTTTAAAATTTCCATTTGACCTAAAGAAGCCCTTGGCTGTTGTTTATTGCAATATTCCATGTCATTATAGTGACAATAAACTTGTAATAACTAACATATTTTTAAGATACACCATTAAATTGTTGCTGTATGATGCACATAATGATTTTACTAGAGCATGCAAATTTAGCATCAACACGGAGTGGCCAGAAATGCACTGCTGTTTACAAACTCTTAATAATGAGCAAACCAGAAAGCAACAACAGACTGTTTTCAAAGCCAGTAATTGCACATTTGGCAGTGGCTTTGAACCGACAAATTCAGTCAAATGGGCCTGATAAGGGTTGAGAGGAGGGGGTTCAACACACCATCGAGGGGCTTGCCGTTTCTTTTCCAGGTGATTGTGGGTTGCGGTTTTCCGGTAGCAGAACAGTTGATGTGGATGTCAGATCCAATCCATGCTAACTGACTCTTCAGCGGCTCCTTCTGCCAGCTCGGTGGCTCTGAGACACACACCATATAAATACCATTAAAACAACACTCTAACTTAAAGCAATACTGCCCTCCTGTGTTTAAAAGTGACATCATTTTTCATGTACAGGATTTCACTTGGCGCTAATGGTCTTTTAAGATCAAATTGATTTTCATTAAGATTATGTTTGGTGCAATAAACGCTATTATGATTCATAAATGAAGTAAACCTGCTAAACATTTTTATATAAATATAAATGAATGAAATATACAGCAGATTGGCAGATGGATGATAGATGCACAGATAGATGAACGGACAGACAGGTGGACAGATTAGTTGATAGATAGATAGATAGATAGATAGATAGATAGATAGATAGATAGATAGATAGATAGATAGATAGATAGATAGATAGATAGATAGATAGATAGATAGATAGATAGATAGATAGATAGATAGATAGATAGATAGATAGATAGATAGATAGATAGATAGATAGATAGATAGATAGATAGATAGATAGATAGATAGATAGATAGGCAGGCAGGCAGGCAGGCAGGCAGGCAGGCAGGCAGGCAGACAGACAGACAGACAGACAGACAGACAGACAGACAGACAGACAGACAGATAGATAGATAGATAGCTTTTATGTCAAACAGATTTATGAATTGGAATTCCTGAGAATCCTCAAATACCAGAGTAAAATTCAGGTTAAAGACCTTGTGAATGTTAGCTTACCCTCTACTTCGACCTGGAAATGATGCACATCTTCACCATGCTGATTCTTGGCTTTACACATGTATTTTCCTTCGTCCTCTTCTCTGATGTTTGGTATTGTCAGAAGCTTTCCGAAGTTCTTTATCTGCGTGCGCTTTGGTAAGTCACCCCATATCTTGATCCATTCTACCTCCGGTGTAGGCCTGAGAAAACACCAGCATACTCTCTCACACTCGCTGTCTCTCTGTCGGTAGAAAAGCTTTGCAGCTGTGTAATATTTGTAAACCCTTGTTGAACTCACAGTCCTTCTGCAATACACTCCAGCTCCAGCTCTTCTCCTTTTTTCAGGAAAGTCGTTGAATGACTGGAGGGAACCAAGATGCTTGGCTTCCTCTCCTGAACTGAATGGGGGAAAATGAGAGTAAATGGCCGTGACATGAATAATAATACAAAAAAACCTTCCTTGATGTCTGAACAAGCAAAATAGGCCAAAGTAATATGAGAAATACATATTATTGAAGATATATCCAGAGAATGTAGGCCATTATCTTACAGAACTTCTGCAAAGAGACACTTAGATGTTATTTTCGAAAAATGTAATAAAAAAATTGTATGAACTCCTAAAAAAGCTGAACATCTAGCAAAGCTTTATCTTAAATTTCTTGTGATTCAATAAAAAGTCTTTATGAGAAGCATTGGTGACAAAAGCAACAACAACAAAATTAAGCTCGCTATATATTTAATACATTTCACAAAATATGTTGACTCACCAATCTTGGCATCACCATCCTCTTGCTTTGCATCAACTATTTAAAAAAAAATTGAAAAAGAAAATGAAGGTCTAAAAAAATTATAGAAAATAGCTATTATAGAAAAACAGAATTTACTGTCTAATCTTTGCCTCATTTAATAAATGACTTGCACATCAGAAGGCAATCCTGACCCGCAGTGACACGTGGTGGCGTTTGAAGGCGTGAGACGCAGAGCACAGACGCTCTTGATTCTGCAGGTCATTACTAATATAATATAACACTAATACTGAAACGGTTAAGGTGTTTTAGCATGACAAAAACAACATTGCAGATGTTTTACATTGTGCTCAGCCTGCTGGTTTATCCATTCGTACATATTTTTTATCATCACATGATCTCTTATAACAAAATCACATGACTTTTATTAATGCGCATACTGGCGTTTCCATCAACTGCTTTTTGAAATGTAGCTAGTGTCTACCATCTACTTACCATTATACGAAATATTTATTTTATGTGTGCGTGATAAACAAAAAGAAAAAACTCCATAACAAATTGGGTGTGAGTAAATAGTAATAGCAGACTCTTTAATGAAACACACCACTTTTTTGAAAATAGAATCAAGTATTTAAGTCTATGTCCGAAAATGCCTACTACTTTGTAGGTACTCGGCTGTTAGAAAAGTATGTTCTATACTGTATGAATGTGATTTATAAATGGAACTTGGACATACTACATCCGCCATTTTGACATGATCACGTGACCTACCCATGTCAGTTGCATTTATTCAATCCCATTCATGAATTTTCTCACAGTGCATCATAGGATAGCAAAGCATGCATCTCATGCACACTTCAGCATATCGCCGGATGTAGGTAATCCAGGTACTTCTCGCATTTTATGACTTCAGACATACTACTCTGCTAGTGTACTATATAGTATGGAAGTATGCAATTTCGGATGTAGCCCTAGAGTTAAACAGTTGAGTTTGACCAAGTTTTTAATTCATTTAGCTTATCTCTGGGTCTAGCTTAGCTTAGCATATCACTGAATTGGATTAGACCATAGAAAATAGGAACTTCCGATTTTTCGGAAGAATTATTACATGATGAAATCTACAGAAAAGTTAAGCTTTAAATAAAAAAATAATCAAAACATGATCAAGTTTTTGACTAATGGTCTAATCCAATTCAATTACTTATGCTAAGCTAAAAGTGCTCCTGTCAGACCCAGACATCATAGCAATGGATTCAACAATGTAAAAAAACTCAACTGTTTAAATGTAGAGGACTTCAAAAATGAGACTTTTTACAAAAACATGGAGTGTTCCTTTAAAATAGAGATTAAAGTGTGTGCCCAACCGTTATTGTGATCGTATAAGCATGCTAAAGAACAGCATGCTGACAATACACTAAAGTTTAAAGTTTAAATCCACTTTAATGAATCACTAATAAAGCCGCTTGAGCATTGCTTTTGGAACTAATCTATTACCTTCAATTTACTTTTAAAAGCAAATATACCAAGACTTGTATTTATGGCAAGCTGGTTAAACATTAAAGCTAAAAACTATATCTATGTTACTAGTAGGCTAGTAGGCTTGTTTTTTTCTCAGAACTTTCCATTCATTAGCTACTTGTCACAACTGCTTGAAAATGATAAGTACTGGTATCCCTAAAATAAGTAATATTTAATAACTGCATCTAATGAATAATCTAATATTATTGATATATAGGGCGACACAGTGGCTCAGTGGTTAACACTGTTGCCTCACAACAGGTCACTAGTTGAGAGGAGTCAGGATGCAGACCTGGTGCAGTGCAATCAATGATTTTAATGGGCTCACCTAACCCCACCCGTAACTCTACCCCTACCCCTACGTTATTCGCTCCATTTGAGTGCATTGTGTCTGACATTGCATTGCTGAGCGATGCAATCTCAGCTTGCATCATAAAGGCTGCATCCAGATGCTATTGCACTGGTTCGAGACACGGCTGGGTAAGTTACTATTTCTGTGTGCATGTTCTCCACGTTTTAGTGTGGGTTTCCTCCGAGTGCTCCGGTTTCCATCACAGTCCAAAGACAATCGCCATATGTGAATTGGATAAACTAAATTGGCCGTAGTGTATGTGCGTAAATAAGTGTGTATGGATGTTTCCCTGTTTTTGGTTGCAGCTGAAAGGGCATCGCTGTGGCAACCCCTGATGAAAAAAGGAACTAAGCCAAAGGAAAATGAATGACTGAATACATATCTAATATTATCGTTTAAAAAACTATTCCCAACTGGAATACTTAGTTGGAATATAGTTGATACCTGAATGACAGAAAAAAGCTACTTATTATTTGTTTTTAACAGAGTAGTTACTAGTATAATAATAAATAAGTGCTAGTGCTTGATGCAAAACACTACTAGCTACAAAATAAATAACAGTAACCCAAAAATAGACAGTAGTATTACAACAGCTTGCCTTAATTTGTTTTTATACGTAGATTGTTGTGCATCTCAATTTTGTTTTCAGTGTGTTAGTCATCAGGACACATCAAGCTAAAATACTTTCAAAAGCACATTATGTGCTTTGTCCAGCTGTTCATAAAAGCAAGAATGTTTCCTGTGTCTTTCATTATCACCCAAAACCAGCAGAACAGGTTCTCCCTTTAACTTATTGGTTGATTGTACCATCCCTAAAATTATATATTCATTTCCACTGACAAGTTTGATGGGGTCAATATATTTATGCTAATAAAATGAATATATTTTCAGCTGATATACATTAAACTTATTAATATAAGAGTAATTAATCAATAATACTTCAATCATTTATATGTAATTATTTATTTATTTATTTATAATGATTTAAAATATCCCAAAAATATCACAGTTTGCATATATATTAAGAAAATAGTACTGTTTTAGGCATTATTAATAATAATAAGATATTCAGAGTAACAAACCAGCATATTAGAAAAATAGAGACTTCTGTCAAAAGCATTTGAATAAAAACAATAATGCCAACGTCAAACGTTTCAAGTGGCATTGTATATCAAGTACACAATATTTATTTATTTATTTTATTATTTTTTTGTTTGTTTGTTTGTTTATTTATTATTATTATTATTATTATTATTATTATATATTTATAAAGAAAGAATTGTGAAAAATGGTAGAAACTGGACAGTGAATTAATAAAATGATAACATAAATAAATAAAAAAATATTAAATTAAAACGTTTTAGGGAGTTAGATGTTGTTTTTAATACTCCGAGTTATCATATATATAACTCAGAGTATAAAAACAACATCTAACTCTCTAAAACGTTTTAATTTAAATATTTTTTATTTATTTATGTTATCATTTTATTAATTCACTGTCTAGTTACTACGATTTTTCACAATTCTTTCTTTTGCGTTTAACAACTTAACACCTTAAATAACTGTAAAACACTATAATTACTGCAATACATGTTTTTGTTTAAAGATAATCATTACAAATTCATTAACTAAGCCAATGTATAATAGCCACATTCTACAATTTCTCAAAAATAACACCTCCAAACTGCAGTGACATAAAATAACATAGAACCGCATAAATCCTTTGAATTATTTCAATACCTGGCTTGACCTTGAGGACCATGCGGGGTTTCTGGACGATTGTGCGTATTTTGAAGAAGGAGGCGAAGCAGCAGTAGTCATCATGACTGTCTGACACCAGCGTATTAGAGAAGTACAGATTCCCACTGAGGCCCATGGACACCCTCTCATTCTGCTCAATGTGCCGGAGATCTGCGAACAATACAGAGAGCATGCTTAGATTAACATGAGCAACAGGACATCCATCCAAACCAGCCAGAAACAGTACATCTGACAGCTGAACTGCAGATAACAGACATCATGGGAAGCGCTCAGAATCTGCAGCTCACTTCACATTTCGGTGGATCGTGATTAAGATGCCTCTTCAGCTCTGGAAGCGAAGATATGTGCAGAAATAATAAGAGGTTTTTAATCAAACTATAAATATCCTTAAGTTTTATTTACTTCAGAAGGAAGCTTGGATAAAATATGTTTTTCTTTTAGAGGAAAGGGTAATTAAATTATATATTTGCCAATGGGTGGAAAATGAAATGACTCAATTGAGATTATTTAAACGTATTTTATAAGCCTTAACCAAATATCAATGTCATTAGATTACCCTGAAATCCAATATCTTTCATTCGTTCATTAATTTTTTTTTTTTTTTTCGCCTCAGTCCCTTTATTAATCTAGGGTTGCCACAGCGGAATGAACAGGTAACTTATTCAGCATGTTTTATGCAGCGGATGCCCTTCCAGATGCGACCCATTATTGAGAAACATCCATAGACACTCACTCACACACACATACAATATGGAAAAATTAGCTTACCCAGTCCACCTATGTCACATATCTTTTGACTTATGGAGAAAACCGGAGCAAACACAAGCCAACAAGGGAGAACATGCAAACTCCACACAGAAATTCTAACTCACCCAGCCGAGGTTCGAACCAGCAAGCTTTTAACTGTGAGGTGATCGTGCTACCCACTGCGCCACTGTGACGCCCCTAAAATTTCTCACCATTATTATTTTTGTTATTATTTAATTAGTAATGTTTGAATGGGAAACAAGTCAGATAGTAAGAGTTATATTTGTAAATTACATTTTCCAAATGTAATTTACAAATAAAAATATGCAAGTTCATGTTTAGTGTTTAATAATATTTGCACATATATAAAAAATATGTAGTATTTAATACGTCATATGTCATGTGTAATACAGTCACTTTATTAGATACACCTTACTAGTATCGAGTTGGACCCCCCTTTGCCTTCAGAACTGCCTTAATCCTTCAAGGCATAGATTCAACAAGGTACTGGAAATATTCCTCCAAGATTTTGGTCCATATTGACATGATAGCATCACGCAGTTGCTTCACATTTGTCGACTGCACATCCTTGATGCAAATTGTTCCACCACATACCAAAGGTGCTCTACTGAATTGAGTTGTGGTTACTGTGGAGGCCATTTGACTACAGTATAATGTACAGTGTACAATGTTTGAACTCACTGTCATGTTCAAGAAACTAGTCTGAGATGATTCGCGCTTTATGACATGGTGCGTTATCCAGCTGGAAGTAGCCATCAGTAGATGGGTATACTGTGATCATGAAGGATGGACATGGTCAGCAACAATATTCAGGTAGGCTGTGGCATTGACACCATGCTCAATTGGTACTAATGGGCCCAAAGTGTGCTGAGAAAATATTGCATACACACTATTACACCACCAACACCAGCCTAAACCGTTGATACAAGGCAGGATGGATCCATGGTTTCATGTTGTCAAATTCTGATCCTACCATCTGAATGTTGCAGCAGAAATTGAGCCTAATCAGAGGCAACATTTTCCAATCTTCTATTGTTCTATTTTGCTGAGCCTGTGCGAACTGTAGTCTCAGTTTCCTGTTCTTAACTGACAGGAGTGGCACGCACTGTGGTGTTTTGCTGTTGGAGCTCATCTGCCTCAAGGTTTGACATGTAGATGGTCTTTTGCAGACCTTGGTTGTGATGAGTGGTTATTTGAGTTACTGTTGCCTTTCTATCAGCTCGAACCAGTCTGACCATTGTCCTCTGACCTCTGGCATCAACAAGGCCTTTGTGCCCACTGAACTGCCGCTCACTGGATATGTTCTCTTTTTTGCCCCATTCTTTGTAAACCCCAGAGATGGTTGTGTGCGAAAATCCCAGTAGATCTGTAGTTTCTGAAATACTCGGACTAGCCTGTCTGGCACCAACAACCATGCCACGTTCAAAGTCACTTAAATCACCTTTCCTCTCCGTGTTGATGCTTATTTTAAACTGCAGCAGATCGTCTTGACCATGTCTACATATCTAAATGCATTGAGTTGCTCCTATGTCATTGGCTGATTAGAAATTTTCATTAATCAGTTGGACAGGTGTACTTAATAAAGTGGCCGGTGATTGCTTCTCTACAATATGTTTCTGTTATACTATAGTAACACTAGCTGAAAACAAATCTACTGTTTAACTGGCTAGACTGAAACTCTCAAACAACTGTCACACAACCTCTTCTTACATACAGACAACAGCATTCTTTATCATTTGCTTCATGCAACTTGTTTATCATCAACAGCATGTTATTAGCGCAGGCGGATTAAAACCTACAGTCTGGCGCCAGTAAAACGGTAGTTATATACAGTTTAATAATAAGCGTGCATCTGTACTCTATACTGTAGCCAAAAACAAGATGATGATTGACATGTAAAACAACAAGAATGTTTCCTGCAACCGCTGAGAAAATCTGAACAGGTGCTATTAATACCACCAAGAAACTGACAGCAGAGAGCTTTCAGGTCACTGAATTATGTTTTTTTTTTTTTCAGCATAATAATTTTTATGTAGTGTTAATATTAGCTGTTTGGTAATACAACATGTCTAACAGCTTGTTTTCAAACAAATTTTTAATTTCTAATTTAATTTCTATAATTTAATATTTAGTCTAATCAGCCAATCACATGGCAGCAACTCAATGCATTTATACATGTAGACATGGTCAAGACAATCTCAGTTCAAACTGAGCATTAGAATGGGGAAGAAAGGTGATTTAAACAACTTTAAATGTGGCATGGTTGTTAGTGCCAGACGGGCTGGTCTGAATATTTCAGAAACTGCTGATCTACTAGGGTTTTCATACACAACCATCTCTAGGGTTTATAGAGAATGGTCTGAAAAAAGATAAACTATCGAGTGAGCGGCAGTTCTGTGGGCGCAAATGCCTTGTTGATGCCAGAGGTCAGAGAATGGCCAGACTGATTTGCGCTAATAGAAAGGCAACAGTAACTGAAATAACCACTTGCTACAACCAAGGTATGCAGAAGAGCATCGCTGAATGCACAAATTGAACCTACAAAGGCTCACCAAAATTAGACAATAGAACATTGGACAAAGTTGCCTGGTCTGATGAGTCTTAACTTCTGCTGTGACATTTGGATGGTTAAGTTGGTGTCAACAACATGAAAGCATGGATGCATCCTGCCTTGTTTCAACAGTTCAGGCTGGTGATGGTGGTGTAATGGCATGGGGGATATTTTCTTGGTTTTGGATTTTTCATTAGTTTTAGTTTTTATTTCGTTTTGAGTTTCTGGATTCAAATTCAGTTCATTTTAATTCGATTTTAGAGGTAGATTTACTAGTTTTTATTTGTTTTTATATTTTGAAATTGCTTACTTTTAGTTTAGTGTTTATTTGTTTTTGTGTTTTTTTTTTTGTTTGTTTTTTGTAATTTAGGACATTTATTGGGTGCAAGTCAAAATCATCAGAATAAATATTTTATAATAAAAACTCAAACAAAGATAGGCTACATTTTCATGACACCAGAACACTATACCATTTACCCCTACTATCAACCCATCCTCAAATTCAAATACAACAGCCCACAAGATAGCAGCTTTAAATAAAATATGTGTGCAAGGCTGCTTCTGAGGTTAAATACACAGTAGTGATAAGAAGTTCAAATCTTTAACACAAACTGGACCTTTTGTGAAAATCTTTCCAAGTTTGGACTCAACATATCAAAAATATGTAGTCAGCAATCATAATTTCAGTCAGTTCAAACATCACCATGACCTGAAAAATTTCTTACAATTATGTTTTGCAACCAAACTGAAGCATGATTCACTTGTTTAAACTCTATTGCAACTGGCTGTTATTAAATAAACTTACAGTTCGTGTTCGGTTCACAGAATTATGCATGCACAGAATTATCGGTTCACCGCTTCTCAAATCTGATCTCAGTGTACTGTTCTTTTAACTAAATAACTCAGTATATAATGGTTTATTTCGAGTCAGAGGGGGACGTAAAAAGTAAGTTGTTTGTGGATAAGTGCTTAACATTACTGGAGACATGAATCGTTTCAAATGATTCAGTTCGATTTGGTGATTTAGTTTAACCGGTTCACTTAGAAGATCCAGTGTAAAAAATTATTAATTTGCGATCACTTGTTATATCAGTGATCTAATGGCTGCAGATCGATATGGACTACAAATCCACCATTAATGGAATACAAGACCCATTCAGGCAACACACACACACACAACTGGTTCCTGATCCTGACTGATTGCAAACACACAGCTGATGCTGCTCAAGTACTGATTAAACCAGCCTGATCTCATGAGAAAACTTAAGTATTTTACGTTTTGGCAGTCTAGTGGCTAATTCGTACGAATTTAAAACCCTTGCTTGGCTTAGAGAGCACATATCCTTGATCCAACTATTTCAGACACTGTGAGTAATGCTGCAAACTGAATTAGGAGAACTAGTATTATTTTTAAAGGGTCACAAAACACCAAAAACACATTTTTTGAGCTGTTAACAGTCGTATATGTGTCCCACACTGCTAAAAACACTATTAGGACACATATATTTCACTAAAAAGTGAAAATTAATCATTGAACACACTGTCTTTCTACCCTGCTTGTGTGTGTGTGTTTGTTTTTCCTCGGTCCTCGGTAAGCGCGTGCTTAAATGGCAACTCCCATTATTTTCAAACCCTTCCCATTTCCCCTCCCCGACACACCCACCCAAACAGAGCTAAACACACCCACTTTCCTGACTTGTTCCAAACTAGAGGTGTGAAGACACCCTGCTGAAACGGGGGGTTTTGTGGCCCTTTAACCTTGAATTGATGTAAACATAGTGTAGGAAACGTCCAGAAACATAAGTAATCTTTCAAATTGCATAATAGGAGCACTGTAAATATTACCATGTTCACAAGTCCTGAAAAAAAAAGAAAAAAGTCAGAAATGATTATAGTCATTTGGTTTGACCAATTGCAACACATTGTGCCATCTAACCAATCAGACCACAGTAGAGCCTAAGAAAGGCAGAGTTTAGAGAGCATAGATCCTTAAACCAACTCTCTGTCAGAGAAATGCTGCAAATTAAATTATGAAAATTATTATATATATATATTTTTTTTTTTTTAAATTGAATAATGTAAACATATTGTAGGAAACATCCCACAACAAAATCACAATATTTTTAAATAACATAATAGTGGCATCTTTATTATTATTATTATTATTATTATTATTATTATTATTATTATTATTATTATTATTATTATCTCATTGGATCCCTTTGTTTGGGTAAAGCAGAATACAGCAAACTAATTTAAAGTCTCTTTAATTTACTGTACCATTGGTCATCCAGTACAGCTGCCAGGGTGGAATCCCTTGTGGCGGGTTACACTCCAAAACCACCGAATCACCCTCTGTGACCACAATTGGCTCTATCTTCTCCTTGGGAAACTTGGGTACCACTGCGAGGAGGAATGAAAACAACACAAATGAATAACTTTTAATATTCACTTCCTCAGCCTAGAGACAGACTACCATCGAAGCGTTCATTAAGAAATTGTCAAGACTAAAAACAAGTTGAGCAGCATCATGTTGAATGTGCTTAAGGGTACACACATGCAAAGATGCAAATATCCTGAAGCAGACCTGTGAAAATTACTTGAATTGCAAAAATTCAAGTTAAGAAGCCAAGACAATGAGTGATATATATATGAACTATGACTTACTAGGCACAATAAATTCGGCTTCTTCTGAAGTTGCAGTTCCGAGTTTGTTGGAGGCGTAACATCTGTACTTTCCCTGGTATTTCACTTTATCTTTTTTATTTGGTATCTCAAAGGTTCCAGTATTTTCTTCTGTAGTGACCTGAGGGTCTTTATGTGGGTCAAAATCCATCCCATCTTTTGTCCAGCGGAACCTGTTTGATTAAAATCACACAACATGCAACTTTTAATAACACTAATGATTTGATTTTTCTTGTTTTATTTACAAATGTAAAAGCTTCTCTGAAGTGTATGGAAACCAGTTACTGCCTCTATTAAAAAAAAAAAAAATTAAAAATAAATTAAAAAAACATATTTAAGTATATTTTGGCACTATTGTGTGATTCAAACTCGCAAATCTGTTTTTTTTTTTTTTCTCAGAATTGTGAGAAGTAAACTCGAAATTGCAAGTTATCCCTTTTATTGCCTGTTTGACCAAATGGATGAGCATATTTTGAGCCACTACATTTTACTCAGAGGAGTATCTAATTTAACTCAACCTAATTGAGCCATCTCTACCATCTGGTTGAAGTATGTTATGACAAAAAAAAATCCACTAGTTGTCAGCAAGTCAATTAACAGCATTCGTCACAACAGTTCTTCCACCACTGAAGTCATAAAAAAGGAAATCACTCCTGACATGTGAACTTTGGTGAAAATTTTGTGTTTGGTGAAATTTTTCAAGATAGGCTTTCCTTTTATTGAACATATTACACTGTAAGAGCACAAACTTTACAAAGTTTAGGTGCCATGAAAATTGTAGTATGTTTTAATAATTTCTCAGAAATATGCTCAACCAGAATCAGAATCAGCTTTATTGCCAAGTGTGCACACACACACACAAAGAATTTGCTTTGGCTACAGAAGCTTCCAGTGTATATAAAGTGACAAGTTACAACACAAAATAAAAATGAAAAAAGATGTTGAATTGTATGTAAAGATTTTTTATAAATATGCAGGTTATGAGGTGCTGTGTACAAATGCGAATGTAGAAAGTATTGCATTGTATATTGATATAAGGTGCTGTGTACAAGTGTGTATGAGAAAGGATTGCACATATTTATTGCACAGTTGGGGGATATTTAACTGTTCATAAGGTAGATGGTCTGAGGAAAGAAACTTTTCCTGTGTCTGGCTATTTTTGTGCTTGGTGATCTGAAGCCCCGACCAGGCGGTAACAGTTCGAACAGGTAGTGTGCTGGGTGCGAAATGTCCAGAGTGATTTTGCGAGCCTTTTTACTAACTCTGGAAGAGTACAGTTCTTGAAGTGTAGGAAGGGTAGTGCCAGTGATTCGTTCAGCAGTCTGGACTTTTCATTGTAGTCTACGGAGGTCGGTTTTGGCAGACGGTGATTTAAGTGCAGAGAATGGATTGGATGATAGCTGAGTAGAACTGCATGAGCAGTTCCTGTGGCAGGTTAAACTTCCTCAGCTGACGAAGGAAGTACAGTCTCTGCTGAGCATTATTCACGATAGAGTCTATGTGAATTTTACACTTCAAATCCTGAGAGATGGTGGTGCCCAGGAACCTGAATGAATCTACTGCAGCCACAGTGCTTTTCATGATGGTGAGTGGGGGGAGTGCAGGGGGTTTTCTCCTGAATTCCACTATTATCTCCACTGTTTTGAGCGTGTTCAGCTCCAGGTTGTTGTATCTTCACTATAACGCCAGCTGCTCCTTCTCCTGTCTGTATGCAGACTTGTCACCTTTCCGGATGAGGCCAATAACAGTAGTGTCGTCTGCAAACTTAATGAGTTTGATGGAGGGGTCTTTTTTGGGTGCAGTTGTTGGTGTACAGGGATAAGAGCAGTGGGGAGAGAACACATCCCTGGGGGCACCAGTGCTGATGGTGCAGCTGTCGGATGTGATTTTGCCCATTCTGACTAGCTGGTGTCTATCTGTCAGAGAGCTGGTGATCCATTGACAGACAGAGCTAGGAACAGAGAGCTGGGTCAGTTTGTATTCGAGTGTGATGGGACAATGGTGTTAAAGGCAGAACTGGAGTCCACAAACAGAATCCTTGCATAGTTCCCTGGTTTGTCCAGATATTGTAGGGTATAATGCAGTCCCATGTTGACTCCATCATCCACAGACCGGTTTGCTCTATAGGCAAACTGTAGGGGGTCCAGCAGGGGTCCAGTGATGTCCTCCAGATATGCTAGCACCAGTCTTTTAAATGACTTCATGGCCACAGATGTTAAGGCAACAGGTCTATAGTCATTGAGTCCTGTGATCTTTGGCTTCTTCGGGATTGGGATGATAGTGGATCGCTTACAGCAGGATGGAACTTTGCGCTGTTCTAGTGATCTATTGAAGATCTGTGAGAAAATGGGAGCCAGCTGGTCAGTGCAGGTTCTCAGACAGGCTAGTGAAACACCGTCTGGGTTTGGTGCTTTCCTTTTCCTCTGTTTACTGAAGATCTGACAAACATTATCCTCACTAATCTGAAGTGCAGAGGGTGAGAGGAAGATGGCTGGAGGTGTTGATGGCTGTTTAGGGAGATGGTCCGGGCTGTGTTGATGTGGTGTTGATGGCTGTGTAGGGAGATGGTCCGGGCTGTGTTGATGTGGTTTTGATGGCTGTGGAGGGAGATGGTTCAGGCTGTGTTAATGTGGTGTTGATGGTTGTGTAGGGAGATGGTCTGGGCTGTGTTGATGTGGTTTTGATGGCTGTGTAGGGAGATGGTCCGGGCTGTGTTAATGTGGTGTTGATGGCTGTGGAGGGAGATGGTTCAGGCTGTGTTGATGTGGTGTTGATGGTTGTGTAGGGAGATGGTCTGGGCTGTGTTGATGTGGTTTTGATGGCTGTGTAGGGAGATGGTTCGGGCTGTGTTGACGTGGTGTTGATGGCTGTGTAGGGAGATGGTTCAGGCTGTGTTGATGTGGTGTTGATGGTTGTGTAGGGAGATGGTCTGGGCTGTGTTGATGTGGTTTTGATGGCTGTGTAGGGAGATGGTCCGGGCTGTGTTGATGTGGTGTTGATGGCTGTGTAGGGACATGGTTCGGGCTGTGTTGACGTAGTGTTAACGGCTGTGTAGGGAGATGGTCCGGGCAGTGTTGATGTGGTGTTGATGGCTGTGTAGGGAGATGGTCTGGGCTGTGTTGATGTGGTGTTGATGGCTGTGTAGGGACATGGTTCGGGCTGTGTTGACGTAGTGTTAACGGGCAGGTGTGAGGTCAAAGGTGTTAAATCTACAGTAGAACATATTCAGCTCGTTTGCAAGATGTTTATTGCTGTCAATGCTGGGGGATGGTGTCTTGTAATTAGTAAAACCTTTTAAGCCTCTGCACACTGATGCAGGGTTGTTAGCTGAAAACTGCTTTTTGGCATAGTTTTTTTTTTTTTTTTTAGCCACACCAATCTCCTTTGTCAATTTGTTCCTGGCCTGATTGTACAAGATCCTGTCACCCCTCCTGTAGGCATCCTCTTTGGCCTGACAAAGCTGTCTGAGTTTTGGTGTGAACCATGGTTTATCGTTGTTAAATGATAAGTAGGTCTTGGTAGGGATGCATAACTCCTCACAGAAACTGATGTATGATGTTACAGTCTCTGTGAGCTCGTCCAGGTCTATGGCTGCAGCTTCAAAAACACTCCAGTCAGTGCATTCAAAACAGGCTTGTAGGACCTGCTCTGTGCCGTTGGTCCATCTCTTAACAGTCCTTATTACTGGCTTAGTAGTTTTAAGTTTTTGGTGTAAGATGAACCAGACAGTGGTCGGAGAGTCAGAAATCAAAATCCGGTTCTTGATTAGTTGGTGTGCACTGCCGAATGTTCAACAGCTCATCCCTGGTGTAACTGATCGTGTTTTATAAACATAAAATAGGACAGACTGAGGCCCCTTTTACACTAATGCGTTTTCATTTTAAAACGCATAAGTTTTGCTATGGTTACGCAATCTGTCCACACTACGCCGGAGTTTTCGAGCGCCGAAAACGGAGCGTTTCGAAAACGCTGGAGAGGCCGTTTTCATTCTAAAACGCTGCTGCTCCATCTTAGTGTGGATGGGGAAAACGGAGACATCTGAAACGAAGGCAGGGCTGCTGAGATTCGCCTATCTGATTGGGGCTTTTCCTCAATATTAAGTAGCTTACACACACAGTTCAGTCTCGTATCCTCTCCCTGTAAGTTCAGACTTCGCTAGTTTGATATGGAAAACAGACCCTCAAGGACATGTCCGGTAAATCTTCAAAGGGAACAGTGTACTTTATAACCTTATTCACATCATCCTGGCTACGTTGTTTCACTTTCTCAACAATAAAATGAAAACATGATTTAAGGAACTGCTATTTGCATTTTGATATTAAAAACTTAACAGATAGCAGAAATGCTGATACGTCGTGCTGCATCTTCACTGTACGCACAATCATAATAAAACAGAGCCTATATAACATCACTGCCTCCTTTCATTTTCATTGAAAATACGAAACGTATCCTCTGCTTTGTTAAATGTCAGTTTTAATAATCAATAATAGCCACTATGAAAGTATAACGCACAATAAGTTTATACATTATAGGAAATAAAGGCAAGCAATCAGTCAATATACAGAATGTGTGTGGTTACAATAACTAGTCTTTGCGCTCAGCCAAAACATGTTACCTGTAAACAAGTAATCATTTCAAAAGACCAAAGTCGGGGAATATGTCGTTAGATATAGACAACAAGATTAATTAAATATCATGTTTAACTAATATAGTGAGATTAGATGCTTGATGAGCAGTCCAACCAGCACAGCTCTCATCTGGGTAGAAATGCTGCAGCGCTTGCCCAAGAGTGTGTGTGTGGTCACGTGATGTGCGTTTTCAGCGTTTTAGTGTTGATGGAGAGCAGTTCAGAAACGCTGGGTAAAACGCTAGTGGACGCGGATCGTTTTCATTCTAAAACGCCATTTTAAAACTGAAACGCACTAGTGTAAACGGGGCCTGAAAAAACTGTGCAAACACTGCAAAGCTTCACACAGAGGCGGCCATCCACGCCACCATGTTTCTGAGTACAAATATCTGATTTGTCAATAAGCATAGAAAAGCAAAGCTAATGTTTTTATATTATGCCTTTCTGCAGTCAGAATGGACTGTCTGCTAAGAAATGTTAACTTTTGATTATTCACAAAATAGATAAGACTAAGCTTGTTACTTAATTATTTTTTATAATAAATGCTGGTGTACAAGAATTAGTACAATATTGAGAGATTGATATTTGTTTGTTTGTAATACGCGCATGCGTCTTTAACACTACATTTAAGGTCAGTCTCTATAACAGTAAACTTTTATAACTTTATGTTTATAATGCACAATTTTGACTTTATAACTCGCAAACCAGACTTCATTAATCACAAACCTTACTTTATATATCACAAACCTGACTTTATAGCTTATAATTCTGACTTTATAACTCACAATACTGACTTTATAACTCACAATTCTGACTTTATAACTCACAATTCTGACTTTATAACTCACAATCCTGCCTTTATAACTCACAATCCTGACTTTATAAATCACAATTCTGACTTTATGACTCACAAACCAGACTTTACAAATCACAATTCTGACTTTATAAATAACAAACCTGACTTTTTAACTCACAACCCATGACTTTATAACTCACAAACCTGACTTTATAAATCACAATTCTAATTTTATAACTCTGAATTTTTCATGCAATTGTGGGTTTATATCACAAAATTATCACTTTATTTCTCAGAATTATAACATAAATTCAGAATTATATTATCTCCAAATTCTGACAAGTTTCACACAAGTTTATATCTCAGAATTGCAGAGTTCAAATTCTGTGACTTTATTTCTCACAATTTTGACTTATAACTTGCAAATTTGAGTTTACATCATACAATTCTAGAGGCGGGAACTGGCTTCCATAGAAGTTCCATGACACATAAAGTGTTATTCAAAGTGTTGATATAAATTAACTAAAACAGGGAGAGAAGGGTAGAGCATATTGAGTGGCTGTTCTTTTTTTTTTTTTTTTTTAAATAGCCGTAGTTTTTTATGCAGAGTCATTGAGTTTGGTAAAATGGTACATTCCAGCTCATGGTGTTATATTCGTTTAGTTGGTCTAACCTTTTCATCTTCAAATCCACAAACTGGCATTCAAATATTCCTCTAATTTGTTAGCAGTGATCCAATTAATTCCAAAGTTTCCAGAAAACAGGGAAACACCAAAAACACTTTAATATGTTTTGTGTTTTATTAGACTGCACAAAGCAGCATTATAGCATAATATTCAAATGTATTTAGTATGAAAAAATCTGCTTTTCCATGTGATCACAACTAGAAGAACTTGAAGCGATGGACTCTGGCATAATACAAACTCCGCTGCTTTTGTGAGCATTGCGCTTGTCTCCCATCAGCATTAGCTTCAGGGGTCTCGTTACTTCGCTTCATTCTACCATGGTAATAAGTTTTAAATACCTTAGCTCATCAATGGACTTAACATCTGCAGAAAGTCTTGTAGAATGAAATTAAGACAACAACTCCCATGATTCCAAACTCAGCCACAGTGTAATTAAAATACACCTTTGTTTGTTGTGAATATGCGCCTTCTAGAGACTAAAATTACAAACTCTGTATTCATTCATGGCTTGATCTTTTTTATATATTTTTCTAGAGTATTCATAAGGGCATTAACAGCAATTCTATTTGAATATTTCTCCAGTTTAACTTGAGCTTCAGAACATATCACTTACGTAGGTCTTGGGTTTCCTTTGGCTTCACACTTGAATATGTATCGCTCATCATATGGTAGGGCGATGATAGTGCCTGAGGTCTGAGCGGTGATGGTGGGCAGCTGCTCCACTGCAGGAAACAGATCACAACATAAAAGTGCTATTGAGGTGGTCATTTCTGGAAGAGTTTACTGTATAATGACATGTAATTCTCCTTAATAACATCCTTAGCCCCAAGTTGAATTTGCATTGATAAGAACGAACAGCTGAGAGTAATTTAACTGTCCTGACACTTACCGTGAGGAGGGAAATAAAGACCAAAGGTGGTGGAGAAGAAGGCCGACAGGAGCCCAACACTGAGACTCCTGAGCCCCCTCATCCCAGCCAGAGAAAGATGAAGGATATGCTCAAAACACTCGTACTTTTCGTCAGGAGCTTCTTACTGACTCCTTCAAGAGAAAGATCTAAAAAAAATTATAATAAAACAGGACAAGTGTAAGAACAGACTGCAATTGTAATAAATCCTTCTACTGTGAAGCTAATGGGGGATTTCAACAATTGTTTACTTTGAATTAGTATAGCTGTTTTAAAACATTTTGGATTTATTGCAGGTGAGAAGACTAGACAATTTCTTTTTTTTTTTTTACCTCAAACAAGAATGAAATTATATTGATCCAGTCAGTCTGCTGTAAAATTCAGTAAATCTGAATCAGTATTAATTTGTTAAAAATATAATTTGAAATGTTATATACATTGAAATTTTCTCTCTTTTATGATGAAAATTTGTGAAGTTTTACAAACTAATTTTGAGAGGAGCACATGATATAATTGACTGTCCATAATCAGCAATAATCCAATCAGATTGAATCAAGCTTACAATAAATAGACCGATTTCAATCTACTACCTTATCTTCATTTTGGAAGAATCCCCCCTTCCATCCCATCCCCTTTTCTTTCCTTTACCAGCGGGAGCTCTCGAGACCTGGTCTCGGGCCCCCTTATATGCTTATTAAGCAGGCGGGAGCCTTGGCCTGAACTTTTACTGTAAAACAAACATAATAAGTGATGGTTGTATTTAGGACTGCACGAATAATCGAAAAAAGGTTTCAATCTGGATTTGACCCTACACACAATGTTAATTCAGCATTCCAACGATTATAATTATATTTTATATTATATTTTTATATTCAATTATATTTTCAAGGTCATGGACACCTTCAAATGGCGTTAAAAGTGTCACATACTGTATTTATAAGGTATAATTCACCCAGAAATGTAATTTCTGTCTAAATATAATGTTGTATTTGCGGCCACAAAATCACACGTGAGCTCACCGCGAGCTGTTTGTTTACTTCCGAGAATGTACGCGTGCATGCCAATGACGCCTTCTTTAGTAAATAGAGCTTGCATAGGCTTTGAATAACAGGTAATAAAGCTGTAAATAATGTTCAGTTTGTTGCACAGAGTGATCGTTTGAGAGCAGACCTAAAAGAAAGATTTGATGTGTGTGCTTTTTTTTTCTAAGAGTGACGGCAGCCATGAGCTGCACTTGGAAGTGATAGTGATGCCGGTGCGCACATCATTTGAATGACCATATCACATTTTACAGTTATGATTATGACAAGCGTTTGATATGTTTTTTTTTTCTTTTATAGCAAACACATGTGCATGAAAGTAAATGTTTACTTTGTCAGTATAACTACTCTGGCCTATATAATGTTGAATATACCACAAGAGGGAATCTGATAATGACAAATGTCTCATTTTATCAGTAAAAACAAAAGGTCTAATAATGTTGTCAATGAAAAATGACAAGCATATATCACAAACATAATAATTAAACTTTATAATTATGAATAGTTTTATTCTGATGTCATCATTTGACTGTGAATTAACAACTAGGACATATTGAAAGTCTGTTCAAATCCACCATAATGACTGTACAAAATTTAGCATTTTAAGCAACAGTATACCCACACATAGGCCTAATATTATTATTGTTGTTTTACCATTCGTTAGAGAGTTAACAATATTAATAGGCTACTAATATTAACCTTTATTTTACATCTACAGAATCGTGAGAAAATCGTGATCTTGATTTTAAGCAAAAAAAATCATGATTCACATTTTAGCCAGAATCGAGCAGCCCTAGTTATAATCATGTGCAAAAAATAAAAAATAAATAAATAAATAAATAAATAAATAAATAAAAATAAAAATAAAAAAAAACAAACGTTGATAATAAAATAGACTGAGGGGGAAAACTTGCCCAATCTCGCAAGGAAACAAAAAATATTTAATGCTGGGTTTTTTTTTTGTTTTTTTTTTTAGAAAAGTGCCTAATTCATACACATTCTTATGATTTAATTTGTATGTAAACAATGTGTCGCTTTAAAACCTTTTTTTTTTAAATGATACATTCCTTCAAACCCCATCCCTCATCAAGAGATGAGCAAATTACACTACTTGTACACATATTTTTGTTCAAATTAATACAAATAACCACAAATAATCAAAAAGTTACGACCTGCTGTGAAAATGCATTGAAAAAAATCACATATTTATTATTATTATTATCATTATTATTATTATTATTATTATTATTATTATTATTATTTTTATTATTAATAATAATATTATTATATTTTAATATAACCTAAAATACCTAAAATTTGACCCTCTTGATGAACTTTTGGATCAAGTTGAGAGTTTAGGTTTTGAAACAGTAACTGAGTCATTCATTCAAATATGTTTATCATTTAATAAAGAACTCAATGACTAAGAAAGTAACTTGCTACTGTACTACCCTTTTTAGTAGAGCTGCACAAAGTTGAAAAAATCGGACATTCAGATATTTTGTATTTATACAATATATATTGCGATTTATCTACAATTTTTTTCTCTTAAAAGCTCTAAATGTACAGAATGTATTAATTTTAGACTGGCTGGTATAATAATGTTAAGGAGTGAATCGTGCATTTTTTTTTATAAACAATGGGTTTTTAGTTTTCTATTTTAACACATTTTCTTTTAGTTTTTAGTAATCTATTCAGTTTTCAGGTACATACATTAAATAATCAAATGTGTTATCAGGGGTCACCACAGCAGCATGAACTGCAGACTATTTCTGAATATTTTTTATGCATGCCCTTCCAGCTGTAACCTGGTATTGGGAAACACACTCATTCCCACACAGCCTCATACACTACAGCCAATTTTTTTTTTCCCAGTTCACTTATACTGCATGTCTTTGGACTGTGGGGGAACCAGAGCCCCTGCAGGAAACACACACCAACATGGGGAGAACATACAAACTCCACACAGCACTCAAACCAACGACCTTTTTACGGTGAGGCAACAGTGCTAACCACTGAGCCACGTGCCACTCTTTTTGTATCATTTCACATTTAAATTGTTATTTGAAAGTAATTTTCACTGCGTTGCTTTTTAAGCAACTGTAATTTTTAAAATAAATTAATTCACATGCAAATAAATCTAAAACATCTGTGTTCTGTATATACTGTACAATATGACACTTTGATCTAGTAAACCATTTTTTTCACTGTATTAAATTATTACTTTGCACAGATTATAAATATATTTGAGATTCATCTGTTAGTAATGGTTCAAGACCACGAGCACAAAAACAACAACAAGTTTCGAAGATTTAAAGATATAAATATATGCATGATATATACTCAAGTATTCATTCATCATATGAAACTGATGTAAAGTTCAAAATGACATCAACTTGGTTAACATGGACAGCATGAACTTATCAGCATGTGCGATCAAAAAACCACAAAGGTTGCAAGTCTGCAATGAAAGTCACAAACTGAGAAAAGAAGTTGACGTTGTTTATTTCGCTGACTCGTGTGCGTTGTTTGCCTTCACGCCTCCATGAAGGCTGATGAACCATAAGCTCGCGCGCGCCGCAGGCTCATTCCACACATAATCGTTCACATTCACAGGATGCACAGAGTCAAGCCGCCTCCACAAATTACCAGCATCAACCTCAGATTAACTCTGCTTATCCAGAAGTGGCCAGAGGTGATGGATTCTCTCACTCTTGCTCCTGGCTCATCATTTGGAGGCTGGGTAGTTTAGTCTTCCCTTAGTCTTCTATAAGAGCCATCAAAACATTGGATGGACTCAAGGAATCGGCAGTGATGCCCTAAGATTTTACAAAAGTGAAAAATCTGTTCTGTATAAAAGTTCATATAGGGTCAAATGAGACTGTAAAGTTTGTCGTCAATATGAAAGGGAATTATAACAGACGCTTAGTATGAAGAGTTCAAACGTAAGACCTCTCTCAAAAGTGCCATCTGAAATTTTCTTCTAAAGTGAGCTTTTTTTTCTCAGCTTCCTGAGTTTGCATTCAGATATTTCCCTTTAGAGGCAATGAAAAGAAGCTATTCATTAGACATCACCATAAAAGTGAAATTACTAAAGCTACGTACAGGAGCCTGAAAAAATAAAATAAAATTTAGACAAACATTTTAGATGGCTCTTGGAGGCTTTTCTATAAGAACTCCTCTAGGTCACAACAGTTAAATACACTCGCAAAGTGCATGTTTATATAGAAAAATATGTAAACACATGCAGTGCCAACAGGTGAAACATGAAAAGGTTTTATAAACTTGAATGTGGGGCGTCACAGTGGTGCCTCACATCAAGAGGGTCGCTGGTTCGAGCCTCTACTGGGTCAGTTGACATTACTGTGTGGAGTTTGCATGTTCTCCCCGCGTTCGTGTGGGTTTCCTCCGGGTGCTCTGGTTTCCCCCATAAGTCTAAAGACATGCAGTACAGGTGAATTGGGTAGGCTAAATTGACCGAAGTGTATGTGTGTGAATGAGTGTGTATGGATGTTTCTCAGTGATGGGTTGCAGCTGGAAGGGCATCCGCTGTGTAAAAAATATTCTGGATAAGTTGGTGGTTTATTCCGCTGTGGCCACCCCAGATTAATAAAGTGACTAAGCTAAAAAAAATGATTGAAACTTGAACATTATAAATTTTATAGAGAGCTTGTAACAAGTATGACACTTAAAGGTGCAGTAGTGATTGTCTTCTGAAACATTATTTGTTGTGCTGGTTGAAAGTCTCTTCACAGTCCAATGGTAATGATTAAAAAAAATGATCAAGATATGTTTATATGTATTTTTATATTCTGGATAAGGCATAAAAAAAATGTCCATCCAATTAAATATTGTCGGGCCGACATCCCCTAATATTTCGATTTCTGTATATTCTCTGTATTTATTATATCTCGATATTCTCGATGAATTAAAACTTTTTAAACTCCGGAATCAATACTGGAGTTACTTTTGCAAGTAAGGGTGACACCATGGCTTAAGTATTTCTGTTAGACAGGTAATGTTCTGTTTTAAAACTATTTTAGCTTCAGGCAGAGCTGATGTAGTATGAGTTGTTACAAATGGGTTTATGCACAGAAGTGTTGTTCAGCCACTGAAATCTCCTGGTGAAAGATTGTATTTTCAGTTTCATAAGGTCCTTTTACAGCATAGATAATGTAGATTTATATTTAGTTTAACAACAAAACATCAGTAAATATGCACTATTCTGCCTAGCCTGCTTTATTGAGCTGAAGTAGCTTTTAAATTCACATTGGGTCATTTTTGAACAATGACAGCATATGACATGCTCCCTACATTGTTTTCCATGCTACTCTGAATATCCACTCTGAAATAGCATGTAAGTATGGCTTAGTAATAAGTGAAATTCCTGCACACTGCCGGGCCAACCACTACATAATCTGCTAACTTGCGAATGACATGAACTAGTGGGTTGTTAGCTGTCGTGTCGCAATGGGCGCGTTCGCGATTTCAGGAGGCTTGGCTTTAAAACACAGTCCGCCCCTGCCGTCCAAAACTAATATGTTAACCGATTAGATCACCTACTGCAACTTTAAGGGCCCTATCATATACCCGGCGCCGTGTGGCGCAAGGCGTGGCGCAGTAGTCTTTTGGTAGTTTCAGCTTGGCGCAAGAGTCGTTTTGAGGCGTTGCGCTACGCTGTTTAAATAGCAAATGCATTGGCGCTCATTTTTGCGCCCATAGGTGTTCTGGTCTAAAAAGGAAGGCGTTCTGAGGCGGACCGCTGGCGCATTGCTATTTTTAGAATCTATAATAGATTTTTTATTAGACCAAAACAAACCCGGTCTAAACTCCGGCGCTTACACACTGCTTAATACGCACAAGAGAGCAATAGGCAAATATCTTTACATATGAAAAAATGTAAATATTAAGGATATATATATAGTATATAATACGAATAGATATAGGATATAAATATAAAGGATTAAAATATTACAAAACATATTATTTTCTAGCCTACATAAACATGAAAAACCACTGCTTTTATGTCTTCTTCATCTCGGGAGGCTTTTTCAGTTCATTCAAAACAATTTGCTTTTTTATAATATTATTATTATTAGCAATATTATTTATTTTATCCATATTTATATTTGTTTTATTAAAATTAAGCTTAGATTTGCCCACCTGTCAGGTTTTAAACCATATGGGGCACAGCATGTGTTTTAGGATATAACTCAGGTTTTTGAGCACATTTTGTTATTATTATTCATTTATTCGTTTGCTGGAAATTAGAACTGAATTTAGAAATAGTTTTGAAACGAATATTTGCGCTTAACAAACAAAAGTATTTATTTATAGACTAATTGATGTCTGTGTGTAAAGGTTTCCCTATCCAAGAGCGAAAATGAAAGTGATCCATTATCTCTCATTCTTACGCAGTAGATGCTCTGTTTAACAGTTTTCTGTTAAAAAACTGTTAACTGTTAACTGTTTGCTTGTGAAATGCTCATTTTTTCCACTTAGACTTACTTTGCGTCCTGTAAATAGCGAATGCGCTCTTGGCGCGACGCAGCTGACTCTTAAAGGGAATGGGAGATGAGATTCTAATTGGTTTATTCTCAAAACACACCTATAACTCATTAAGAAAATAAACTCAACCCTTTTAGAACATGCGCCGCAGCGCAAGGCAGCTTTCCCGTCCTTAAATTAGCAAAAATGCGTCCTGACATGCCCTGAAAGCGTTTGCGCCATGCGTTTTGCGCTCTGCGCATGGACCGTCAAAATAGAGCCCTAAATTTAACAAAATAACACTGGCTATTTTGTGCAATTTTTTTATTATTTTTAACTCATTTGTTAATTTATCTGTTTATTTATAAGGGTTTATCACTAATTGTGATAAATAGAAGAATAGTGTTTTGGGTAAAACATTATGTAAATTACGCGGCACGGTGCCTCAGTGGTTAGCACTGTCAGTCAGCTGGCGTTTCTGTGTAGAGTTTGCATGTTCTCCTTGTGTTCCTGTGGGTTTTCCAAAAAGCCCAAAGACGTGGTATAGGAGAATTAGGTGAACAAAAGTGGCTGTAGTGTATCAATGCATGTGTAAATGTCAGGGTGTATGGGTGTTTCCCAATACTGGGTTGCAGCTGGAGGGGCATATGCAAGAATAGGTGGTGTTTCATTTCGCTGTGGTGACCTCTGATATATCAGAGAGTAAGCCGAAATGAAAAATAAATGAATTAATTATGTACATTTTTAAAATTATTTTTAACGAGACTGTATTTATTGTGAAATATATATGAAATAAATTGTGTTTTATATTTGAATATGTTTTGAAATATTCATTGCATGTCAAAGCTGAATTTTCAATATCAATAATCCAGTCTTCTATCATTGAGAATTCTTATACACTCTCAGAAATAAAGGGACACGAGTTGTCACTGGGGTGGTACCTTTTCGAAAGGTACACATTTGTACTTAAAGGGTCCATATTGGTACCTCAAATGTATATATTAGTACCTAATAAAATTAATAGGAACACTATCATACTAATATGTACCCTTGAGGTATTAATATGAACCTTTTAGGTACAAATTTGTACCTTTTGAAAAGATACCACCCTAGTGACATCTGGTGTACCTTTATTTCTGAGAGTGTAGGGTGTTTTGTTGCTCAAATATATCCATGTTGAAAACAGTTTTAAAACCCAGATTAATTATTTTTCAGTATTGTTTTTGTTACATTTATATATATAAAACCTTTGAATGAACAGTGCTCATCCCTTTTGAGAGCCGGGATGGCAGTCATTGCTGAATTCATCCTTACTGAAAAAATTCCAAGCAGCAACTGTACAACTAATTAATATATAATAACTCGTTTTGATACTGCTCCTTCAACAGACATTTAACTGACTATAAGAAACTTTGCAAATGCATGTAAACTTACATTAACCCTAACCCACAACCTTACAGTCTACTAAAACTTAGCAGGTAGGTGCAATGTAACTTAAATTCCACAAAATGCATTAAAGGGACTATCAATATAAAGTGATATCCTTGTTTAAACTACTTATTTAAAACAAGCTAAGACAACACAATTCATGATATTTGTTTTATGACAACTTAATTGTTTTGAAATCAATACACTTAAACTTAAGTTAACTTAATTATTTTGTGTTGGGACAACAAGTATGAATTGTGTGGAACCCAGCTTTTTATAGTGTATAGTTGCTTGCATGTTTGTTAGTTTATTTCTTTGTGTATTTTTTTTTTGTTATTGTTTGTGTATTTTAACTTTGTTTATTTGTTTGTTTGCTTGCATATTTTAACTTGTTTGTATGTTTTTCTTGTTTGTGTATCTTAACGTGTTTGTTTATTTGCTTGCTTGCTTGTTTTTTGTACATTTTTATTTGTTTCTTTGCTTGCTTGTTTGTGAGTTTATTTCCTTGTACATTTTAACTTGTTTGTTTGTTTGTGTATTTTACCTTTGTTTGTTTGTTTGCTTACTTGCAAATTTTAACGCGTTTGTATGTTTTTCTTGTTTGTGTATCGTAACATGTTTGTTTATTTGCTTGCTTGCTTGTTTTTTGTACATTTTTACTTGTTTGTTTGTTTGCTTGCTTGCTTGTTTGTAAGTTTATTTACTTGTGTATTTTAACTTGTTTGTTTGTTTGTGTATTTTAACTTGTTTGTTTGTTTGTTTGTGTATTTTAACTTGTTTGTTTGCATATTTTGTATGTTTTTGCGTTTGTTTGCTTGCTTGTTTGTTTATTTTAATTTGTTTTTTTGTTTGTGTATTTTAACTATGTTGGCTTACTTGTATATTTTAACTTCTTTGTATGTTTTTTTCTTGTTTATGTATCTCAACGTGTTTGTTTGTTTGTTTATTTTAACTTGTTTCTTTGTTTGTCTATTTGAACTTTGTTTGTTTGCTTACTTGCATATTTTAGTTGTTGGAATGTTTTTTCTTGTTTGTGTATCTTAACTAGTTTGTTTGTTTGCTTGCTTGTTTTGTATGTCCAAACTTGGCTCCTGATTGTAATTTTTGCTGGATTTGTTTATTATCCTATCCATATCTAAGCAAGAACAGTTGTTCAGCTTATATCAGTTCAACTTCATATTTTTATTCTTGCAACATTTTATAACTGGGTGTATTTAAATGGTGTACTTAAATGTTGCTTATTACATATATCACTATAATTAAAGTATTTGCATCTGCAAGCACCTATATATGCACGCTTTTTATTTGAAAACACTTTAATCATAATATATCAGTAATTTTAACCAATTTAAAAAAGAGATTTGTTTTAATAATAAGCTTGTAGAAACCAACAGAATTACATCCTTGTTGTATTCCAGTGTTATGAAGCAAGTAAACTAGCTAGTACACTTCACACCTTTGACCTGTGTATCTCCAGCTTAAAGAGTTGTAGTCTGGTGACCTCTCCAGACCCTAACAAGCGGCAACACTTCTCAACACAACACAGAGGAAACTTCTGACCCTTTGCAAAAGACACAGTTGCAGCTGTGCCGTCTTTAGCAGCACCAAAAACATCCACACTGTAATTATTTACACATCCATTACAAATGAGCAAATTAAAAACAACAAGTTAATCAAACAATGAGCCCGGGCAAGACAAATTCACTCAAGCACATGACTGGGAAACTTCATCCATTAATTCTAGAGAAAGATATCAGAGAAAACTGCTGATGCTCGCGGTTACACCTCTCTCATTTGCATCCCTGTCACTGCGCTTTGAAACCATTAAACAAATAGCTTAACAGAACACGGAAACTTTACTTACGGACACACTCTCATTCACACGCAGCCAAGACAGTAATTCCCTGAGGTATAAGGTAGTGTTAAACACCATTCAGACTGAGCTTCCAAACTCTCGGCTTGCTCCTCAAATTCCTACACACTCACAGAGAGAGAGGGAGAGTCTGAAAACAAGCTCCGGCAGCTCCAGTAAAGCACTAAAGGGGATTCGCTGAGGAGACATATGTCAGTAAAGCTTCTCAGTGGGATAGGGGTCTCACTAAACCTTAGACTAAGATTCAAACAAAGCCTGATCCGCCGATGCCATTCACAAACTATTAACGAGGTCATGAACTGGCTACTTTAGTTATTTTGTACACTGTAAAACCTAGTAATTAAAAATTTACTAAATGAAATGAGTTTATAGTCAACTCAGAATAAGGGCCAAAAAGAATCTGCAGATATTTGTTTGATATTTCTGCAGAGCATTTTGTAAAAAAATCTTTGGATTTATGTTTGCAGAATGATTTTAGGAGGACAAAAACGTAATATATGAAACAACTAATACATTTTTAACTTTTATTTAAAGTTTACAATGCAAATCCAATTAGATCCACTTTACTTGGTAAACAAAGCAAGTTTCTCATAAAATATTACTCCACAAACTGTATTGTAAATAAATAATATGAACATTTTAATATTGTTATTATATTACAACAATATTAGTGAAATGAATTTAAAAACTGAATAAATATAAATGTACACACATTTACACAAGTAAATACATCTTTCTGCATGCACAGAGTCTATGTGGGCCTACTCATAATTTACTGGAATTTACTGGAATTGAATCGCTAAAATCACTACAGAGACTATATTACACAGAACACTAAATCAAAAAAGCAAAATTACAGCTGACTTTAGTCACAACCTTAAACCAATAAAACCCATTAAATCTCTCAAAATCTCAGCAAAAGATCAATAAGCAACTGAACTAACAGTATTAACAGCTTCACCTATTACTAACCTGGGGTGCGTTTCCCAAAACCATCATTAGCCAACTAAGGTCGCAAGTTCCGTCGTTACAAACATAGCTTGTTGATTTGCCGTTTCCTAAATCCGTCGCTCTAACACACATTCACAAACTCCATCGCAAACTTGAGCACTCGCAACTACAGCTCTGGAGCTGTAATTAGAAACATAGTTCCTGCTGGGTTCTATTCCCACTTATCCCCCTATGCCCTATTTATTTAGAACATTTTAACATTCAAAGCTGGAATTATAAAAATAAAAAAAAGTATTAAGGTCATATGTCTTAGGTGTAATTTGCTTTCAAACTATTTTTACAGTTCAGTTTTAGCGATCTTCATGTTTACAATTGTGCTCCCTTAGTAGTGCATTTTGAAAACATTGATGTCATTTTCAACACAGCATCATGACGAAAGCTATAGGTGACCTATTCTTTAAAAGCAGAATTTATGTTATGTCTCTAAAGCTTGTGGAAACAAAAAGCATACGTTAATTCTTTTAATTTATAGTAAGTAAATTGTTAAGAATCTGTACTGTATATGACATGGGCCTGCCGGTTAGAACTTTCTGCAGTGATTTACATGTGTCAAAATGTAAAAGGTAGACTTTTCAGTAAAATTTAAAATAAATAAACAATATCCTACTTAATAATAATAATAATAATAATAATAATAATAATAATAATAATAATAATAATTATTATTATTATTATTATTATTATCATTGTTATTAATATTATTATTATTATTATTATTAAAGTATGATATTTACATTTCTAATAAATAATAAATATTACATTTCATTTTATAATAAATAGCCTCATTATTTATTTATTTATTTATTTATTTATTTGATATTAGAATACGTGTTAGCTTGTAAGTGATATGCTTTAGAATAGAATATGTAATGTTCAACTTCTCAATAATTTACATATATTTCAGTTAATAGAAAAATGGGAGTGTATGTTTTTACTAAATTTAATATTGGATTTTATTTTAAATGCGTGTGCGTGTAAAATGATATAATTTGCACAAAGAAATGATGGGTTTTTTTCTAAAGAAGTTGTTATTCCACCTAGTTTATAGCATCATTGTGGGCGTTTTACGTTATAACTAATGTGGTTCTAGCGATGGATCTGCGACAGAGAAACTACGGGTTTTGGGAAACACTCATCACTACATAGTTCTTTTCCCAAACGATGCATCATACTATGATAGTTCAGCCGCGAGTTACGTCGTTGTTTGGGAAACGCACCCCAGCTTAATGTCTATAAAACCCTTTTGCAAGGTTCACTGAAAATAATCATTTTGTTATGCTGTGTTCACACGAGACGCGCAACGTGTGAATATATTGCGCTACATGTAAATTAAACATTTTGAGTTCATGGGTCAAATTCGCTTCATTCACGCGTCAAATTCACCTCACAATAGATGCGGATTCGTGTCATGGGCAGGGTTTCAGTCTGCCGGGTGATTCTAACTTTGTGGGTTAAAGGCTAACATGGAAGAGAATAGCTGTGTTTTTGTGCTTTAGGAAGGCTAAAACCAGGGTCCATTTGTTTTGTCTAGTCCACAAGATCCTTTCAGAGGTGCACCCAGCTCTGTGGGTTTTTTAACTTCTCCAGAAACTATACTTGGATGATGGTGACTTTCAGCTGTGCTTCAGACTGATCCAAGCCCAGTTTGATGAACTGTTGTCTGGTGTCAGATTTCCCTCAGGACACCAACAACAGGCACTATGTCATAATCACTCCCCTACAAGAGCAAGCTTGTGATTGATTAACGTGGCACGAATGTCTGAAGTTCAGATTTTCCAATTTGAGAGATTCCTGTGAAATGCATTAAACGAGCAAAGAAGCTCAACTTGCGTTGTTTCATTTGTGTGAATCGCTTAATTCTCACCTCATTATTCACTCGTATTGCACCACAAGATGTCTATTCATGTCTTTGCACTGACTTAAGATGTAAATAACTCGCAATTGATGCTCTATCCAAGTCGGGTGTGAATGCAGCATTATGGGTTGACACCGAAATGGTTGACACATGGGGCTGATCTTGCCATTACGCTCTGAGCGCTCACAGTTGAAAAAAGTCAACTCTGAGCAGAAAAAGTCTGTCACATCTACTTCTGTCACATCTTTTTCATTCTCTAATCAAATTAAAGCAGAGGTGGGGTTTTCGTTGAGGTTTCCACAGTGTTTATGTTGTCAAGACAACTATGGAGATTATGGAGATAAAAGCGTGTTCGGTGTGATCGGCCCCTTAAACAGCACCATTGATGAGAGCAGCAAATGCTTTACTAGGGCTCTTTAAGATAATTTCTCAAGTTAGTTTCTCTTTGGCTGGTGTAACTGTAAATTATGGAAAGAAAACAAAATTATTAGGCTAAATACCTTTTGTCCAAGGCAACTTACACCAGTGAACACACACACCTGGACCAGGGTGCAGTTGGAGGTTTGGTGCCTTGCTTAAGTCAATTATCTCAGCCGTGTCATTGCGGTGGACATTTATTCACTCTCTCCACCAACAATACCAACTGGCACATTGACTTGAACCTGTGACCTTTGGATCCCAACATTTTACCCATTAGGCCACTTGACAGTATACACAATTGATTTTCAAATTTTGAAATGGCACTAAATAGATTAAGTTCACAGCACTCATTAGTGTCTGTTTTTGAACTTGAATGGTCTGTTGCAACGGGTTTCCTGAAACGCTTTGTGTTACTTTAACTTATAGGGTTTAACAGTGTTTTTTTTTTTTTTGAACAGAAACCCACTTATCAAGATATTATTTATATAAAAAACATTAATTTATAATTAATAGGCGATTTTATTTCATTTTTTCTGCCCTGTTTTGACCCCAACTGTTGAAACACATGCATGCAATTTAACTGGACAAGGTGGATTGTAATGCCCACTGGTGATAATAACAGTTGTGCAAAAAAGAGTGAAAGGACAGTTGTGTGATGTAACTTCAGCATGTGTGTTTGCTAGTCAATTTCTTCATAGATTAAAACTGCTGCGATTTAGGAAATTCTCACTATAAACAAACCTTTAACTAATAAGTTTAGCTCTATAAACAACAACCATTATTATTATAATATCTATTATTATTATTTTTATGCAATTACTAGTTTACTGAGCTACAATTATTTGTCAAAAGTATAAAAAAAATGCTTACTCAAAGCGCTTTACAAGCAATACAACACAATAAAAAAAAGCACTCAGGAATAAAACAACTACATTGCAAAAAATACAATTACCTTATATAAAAGCAATGTAAACCATTTTAAATGAATAATCATATAAAAACAATCGTAAAATAAAATGTTTTTAATAGTAATTTGTTTCCCTATTGTCTACTGGGAGAGTATACAGCTTTGTGGAATTAAATGAAAATGCTCTGTCACCCCTAGATTGAAGCAGTTTCTTGGGGACAGCTAAAAGACCACTCAGTGAATAACATAGATTACGACATGGTGTGTAAGGCATTAAAAGTTCAGTTGAGTACTGTGGAATCAGATCATGTACAGTCTTATAAGTCTTATACACGGATATTCAATCAATACAATAACTGACTGGGACAAATAAGTAAGGTAGAAGTTGGCTTTAGGTATTGGGTAGGATTAGAGATGTAGTGTCACCGACTCGGTCCCAGTCATTCCCCTCGCTGGCCAGCAGAGGCCACCATCTCCGGAATTCTAAGCTTTACATCATCCATTTACCCTGATCATGCACACCTGAACTGAATCCCGCTAATGACCCACGTACCCTTTATAAGCCAGCACCAAACGCTCATTCTGTGCGAAGTCTTGTTTAGCCCCGGCCAGCATTTCAGAGCGTTATTCCTGCCTGACTCCTTGTGTATTACTCCAGCCTGTTTCTTGACTCTGCTTCGCCTTCTGCCTGCCCACGACCCATGCCTTGTATACGGACTCTGATACTCGCTGCCTGCACACGAACCACGCCTGTTATACGGACTCTGATGTTCGCTACCTGCCCACGACCCACGCCTGGTTCACGGACTCTGATACTAGCAGCCTGCCCTCGATCTATGGCTGGTAATTCTCCCTGTGTCTATTCATCGCCAGTCTTTATTCATCATAGACTGTTGTTGTTGTGTGTTTGCACGTTAGTGCATATTGTGTGTGTGAATAAGTGCTTGAGCAATAAATACTGCATAATGGATCCCTCCATGTCAGTCTCCTCGTTACATGTAGAATAAGATCATACTTTATTAGTACTAATTAACAGCCAATATATTAATAATAAGCAGTTAATAAGCCAGTAGTTAATAGGGG